TTAGCTATTCATTAAGCAATTAGCTTCTTAAGTTTGATTACAACAGGAACAGGTTCTTCACTGGGAAAGGTAGGCAGAATTAGATGTGTGTCACCTCTCTGTGTTGTTTGCGTTGACAGGTGAATAAACTGGGTAAGTTTTTACTTGCTGACACTTCAGCAGGGATTGAGGGTGAATAGGAATTCTTGTCTTGTCTGATGATTTTCTTTGCTACTAGTGAAACTTTGTTTTAAAATTTCTCAATTAACACTTTTATTGGCTTTTTTTCTTTCAATTAAGCTGATTCAACGGGTACTCACTCTCTGTACACAACATACAAGGACTATGAAATCATGTTCCACGTTTCCACTATGTTGCCATATACGCCAAACAACAAGCAACAGGTAAGAAGGACCGTGCCTGTTTAAAATTAATTTTTCCTCCATCTCAAAATTAGCTCAACTATTGAATATTTGTGACAACATTCCTTTGTTACTAAGAAACAGAAGTAAACCCGGCCACCTCTGTGTCAGAAAGGCGAGCAAAGCAGATCATTGGAGGTACACCATAGGTAGATTCTTCTCCATGGGATGATTTTCTGTTTAATTACGTGTTATTTTCCGATCGCTTGATGTAAGTCTTACACAATAATGTCAGTAGCACATCCATGTTACATAAGTAGGAGTTCATATCTTATGTCAAAGGGACCATAATGTACTTGATACGATTTTCAACCTCCTGCTGTGACATCCATTGCACTTGAAGGCTTCCATTCAGCAAGCTGTAGTATGCACAGAATCAGAGGTGGCAAGTGGGCTGTCCAGCACACTGCATAAGAAAACATGAGACACAATCCACACAATCTTTTTTTTTTTGTCTTAATTTTTTTTTTTGCTATGCTGAAGAGCTGTGTAGCCTGACCTGCTTTTTTACTCTGACCTACCTAGTTTTGTTAAATACTAGGCCATCTTGTGTGTGCATTTTACTCTAGAAACAATGGTATTTTATGTTTCTGCAAATAAAACAGAAGTTCCTTTTAGCAGTAAAAAACCTCACAGTGTTCTTTTTAGTTTGCTTTTGGACACTAGATACTATACTACTTCGTAGGTTACCTTTCTCTTCTACTGTAGTCTTGGATTTACTGAAAAAAGCCTATAGGAAAATTGTTAAAGCTTATCTTAAGAAGAATGTCAACTATTGGCAGCTTGAAATGGAACTTACTTCTGGCTTCTAAAAATGTGTTGAAGTGGAGAATATTTTCCAGCTTCCATGTGTCACTGATTACTCTTACACAAGCAGGTTTTGTTGTGTTGCTTAAAGTTTTCCATAACGAGATCTTCCTGTATGTATCATATGAAAATGCCCATGCCTGAAATTTATTTGATTAGTAACTGATATTCTGATACTTGTCATATAAATCCTCAGCTGTATCAGTTTGTAGATTGGAGTATCATTTGGAATTTAAAAAAATAATTAATAGTTATTTATAAAACCGAGAAGTGCCTAGTTGAAAATTTTGAAAAGACTGTATTTTAACCTGTACATCTCTTTTTTTATTTTTTTTATTATTATTTTTTGTGTTAAAGCTTCTGAGAAAACGACATATTGGAAATGATATTGTGACAATAGTTTTCCAGGAGCCTGGAGCACAACCCTTCAGCCCAAAGAACATTCGGTCCCACTTCCAGCACGTCTTTGTCATTGTACGAGTGCACGGTCCCTGCACTGACAGTGTCTGTTACAGGTACCTATCGCGGGTTTCACTGAAAACATGGAATCTGAGTGCCAAGGGAGGTGGCGTTCCTCTTTTAAATTCTCAGTAAGGAAGCATAATGAAAGATGTTGGGTCATGTGAATTCAGAACACTGCTTAAAAAGTAAACAGGCACACCAGTACGTAAAGGAAACACACCCAGTGAGGAAATTGATGTTGTCAATATGTGTGCGCACACACACAGAGATATCAAGTGTTTTGGATTGATTTTACAATTCCATTCTCGCTTCCTTTTCATTCTGTTTATTAAGAGTATGCCAGAAAAAATGATTCTTATTTGGATTGTTAATTTGGAAACTTTTTATTTGGATAATTTGGATGCCTGAGCTTATGTTCCATGTTTGAAATTAAGACAGTGAGAAAGTGTCACTAGCCTTTCAGAAAGAAGCTAAACTCACTGAAATATTTTGTCTGAAATATCTTAATTTCAATAAATACTTTCATTTTCAACAAAAACATTCCAGAGCATTATGCCACCAAAAAAGTAAAAAAAAAAACATGATGTGATCTTAAAGTCAATATGATTAAAACCTGGTAATTGATAGTAACCGATAAAAAAGACTTGCAAGCTGAGATTCCTATTTAGCATACATTTCTTTAACCAGATTGAAAGCATATAGAGATCATGGTTTTGAGTTATAAATCTTTCTGCAATCAATGAAACTTTTCGCCTTTATTACCTCAACTCAAGGTATTTTTATTTTTAAATATTGATTCATCTCATGAAACTTTTATAAAGCTTCATTATTTGAAAAGTGAAGTGTCAGACTAAGGGATTTAAAGTAGTTACCTTGAAATGAGGTGGCCTTAGAATTAGCTTGCCTTTACTGAAATACAGATGTTCACCAAAGTGTTTTGTTCAAGGCTGATTTAGAGGAAGAGCTTAGACGTAGTGTCAGAGATGGCGTTTTCATGGTTTTCAAGTAAGTCTAGTGAGGCTTAAAGGCTTTTCTCTCTCCAGAAGCTTTTGGTAAAGCTCACACATGATGTCTGGAACTGATAATGAACTTTGTACATGTCTTAAACTCTCTTGGAGCAGGCGTGTTCGTGTTGATAGTCATTTTAAGGCAGTTTATTGACAGATTCCACTAATGCATAATTTATGTGGGCATAGCTTGTTCTTAAGCTTTTAGACATGTGGTTTAGCTCTTATTCTGTGCAGACACTGATTTTGAAGGAAAGGGAAAATAGGAAATAGACCCGCAGTGGCTGCAGATGAGTTTTTCCATTTGAACTGGGTACTTGCAAACACATAGAAAAATCTTCTTTCGGTTATTATTTTAAATAATATGACTGCATACTTTCAGTTTCTTTTTTTTAAAAGTCATGGGAAAAATTTATATTTGTTATACTGCAGTAAATTTAAATATCTCAGCATACTGTTTCTGACCTTCAGACTTCCAAATCCCTTTCGTTTTTCAAGTGTTTGCAGCTACAAGGGCTGGAACCTTACTGATTACTGTTAGTGAATAAAAGTTGAGAATTCCACCTTTGGTGATGCAATAGGCTTAATTTTTAAGGGGAGGGGCAGCAGGTAGGAAAAATAATTGTGTTAGTGTCAGTGTTTACTTTGATACAGGAGACTGCTAGACCTTTCTTTGTTCTGTGTATTGCCTTTAAAATCCTTTCTTTTTTTTGTCATCTTGGTGCAAACACTTGGTTTAAATTTATAGAATTCCATTACGAAAAGTTTTTCTAGGAAACTTTTCAAAGTAAGTTTGACCTCTTTTTCATTGAATTATTTGGAACAGTTTCATAGATTCATAATTCCAGACAAAACAGGAAGCCATATAGCATAAAAATGTACTGGAATTTATATTAAAAACTACATAAAAGGAGTAAAATCAAGCGCTCTCTTGGCCAGCGATTTTCCCTCCCAACTAGCGTAAACATTTCAAAAGTCTGGCTTCTCTGTCGACATCGTTCACTTTTTGAAACTTCTCTAGCACATTTGAGATTAAATTCTTATCCATGAGAGTCACAGTATTGAAAATTTAATCAAACAAAAGTCACTGGTAGATTTTTGTCACATCCAGCGATTGTGTTTAACGTTTAGGCTTCTGTCTCTTAATGACAGACCCCTTAGGACCACTGAAGATGATCAAGAGTCAGATGGTTGCATTGCAGTCAGCCCCTGTTGCATACTTCTAGATATATTGGCACACGTTTGAAGGAAATGTCATGGTCAGCGGCATCTTTCGGTATCACTTGCCAGAAAATGTAAAGAAAAACAAACAAAAACCCCCTCACCTAAACCAAACATACCAAACACCCAACCACCCCAAACCAGAAGATATAGTTAAATGTTGGGTGACTTTGTTTTTGGTATTCGTGTATGTGTGCACGCACCCCTCCACCACCCCCTAAAGCTTTACTAGTATTTCTGCAATCTCAGTTATTGATTTTTTGGTAGGGATTTCTCTGGTTGTACTTGAAGATTAAACCTTATTGCAGCCTTCCAGTACTTAATGGGGGCCTGCAGGAGAGATGGGAAGGGACTCTTGCTCGAGGAGGGTAGTGGTAGGACGAGGAGTAATGGTTTCAGACTGAAAAGAGGATGGATTTAGATTAGATATTGGGAAGAAGTCTCTTCTTAGGACAGACTGCCAAGTGAATGATGCTGGACTGGAACAGCAAATCTTCAGTGATGTCAAACAGCTCTGATCCGCTCTGTATTAGAAGAGCCTTGACCAGGGAGAACAGCTCAGCTGGTCAGCGTTGCCTAAGAGAGTCTTACTGTCAGTGCATTGCTTGGTATGGAAAGGGAAAAGGAGGAGTAGGAAAAGAAAACATCTTATTTCTCCTATATATCTGCAAACTTCTAGGAAGTGTCTTATTGCTGGTATTTCTGCAATCTGCTTCTGTCACTAGCATGCAGTATCAGCTAGTGCAGTTTTCGATACATAAATCTAAAACATATTCAGCAGCCAAACTGACCTTCTGAGATTATTTTATTGTCCTTATCTTTTTAACGTGTCCATTTTATCTTTATTTCTAGGATTGATTCTATACTTTGCATTGCTTTCAGCTTTAGGTAGCTAAATTATAAGCTAACCTTTATAAATATTGTATGTTCGAAATCTTCTGGTTTTAGCAAAACCAAACAAAATTCACAACGTGTGTTAGTGATTGCTTTATCAAAAAAGCACAGTTTCGAACTTGAAGCTCTCTTTAAGCTGTGGTACTGAAGATTACTCAAAAAATAAGTGGCCTTCTGTTTATACAGTAAGGGGGACATAATCTCCACACTGGCAACATTAAAATATAAGTATAGGCATATTGCTGAAAAGAGGAGAGAAAAACTGAGGACTTAACAAATGAAGGAAGTGCATTTTCTATATTCAAAAAGCTGTAAAATTTTTATACAGTGGAACACTTGGCTTCTTCCTTATTCTTTTATTTCTTTTAGTGTTGCTGTGACAAGATCCAGAGACGTACCATCCTTTGGACCACCTATTCCGAAAGGTGTCACGTTTCCTAAGTCGAATGTGTTCAGGGACTTCTTACTGGCCAAAGTCATTAATGCAGAGAATGCTGCTCATAAATCCGAGAAGTTCCGTGCGATGGCCACCAGGACCCGACAAGAGTACTTGAAAGACTTGGCAGAGAAGAATGTCACCAACACTCCTATTGACCCTTCTGGCAAGTTCCCCTTCATCTCACTTGCTTCAAAAAAGAAAGAGAAGTCCAAGCCTTATCCAGGAGCAGAGATCTATAGTTCTGGTGCTATTGTGTGGAGTGTCCATGCAAAAGACTACAGCAAGGGTATGGAAATAGACTGTCTCCTGGGCATCTCTAACGAGTTCGTTGTCCTCATTGAACAGGACACCAAAAGCGTGGTGTTCAATTGCTCCTGTCGAGACGTGATAGGGTGGACTTCAACGGACACAAATATCAAAATATTCTATGAGAGGGGTGAATGCGTTTCTCTGGAGAGCTTCATCAGCAACATTGATGATATCAAAGAGATCGTCAAAAGGCTGGAGGTTAGAATGCGTTCTCTTGTCTGGTTCCCCTTCTTCGCTTTCACCTCCTGCCCCGCCGCCAAGTAGGGCTTCAGCTGAAGTAATGCTTGCGATCCCTAAAACTGTTTTAATTGTTTACCATGAAATCTGTAAGGACTTTCTTGCTTTTATTTCTCAAAATCCAATATTGCTTTCTGTTCTATCAGGTATCAGCCAACCTCAGCTGGTTGTGTGTGTTGTCAAAAATGTCTCAATATATTTAAAAATAAAAAAGAGCAAGGCCTTCAGATTCATGAATTGCTCCCACACAATAAATACAGCAGTGTCATTTCTTTTCCTTGTTATCCCTCACTTTCTCTATTTTATAGGCTTGTTGTATCTTGTTTCAAACGAAACTGTAATATCTTTGAGACTAACTCATTATATTGCCAGCAGCGTGCAGTCCCAATCCCTGTTGCAGCATTCAGATATTCTCCGAATGTATGCGACAAACTAAAAAATGTGACGAATTGTGGAGTCTGTCTACAAAACGTCTGTCCACGCTCATCTTTCTTCCAATTAAGTTACAACAGAGTGTGGTGTGTTTCATGGTCTTCCCTGTAATTTCACAACTGTGATTGTATAATGGCCAGGAGAAAGGGAAAATCATGCCCTGTTAAATTGCTCCTGAATGGTATTCATGCTCATGGTACAGAAAAGAGTTGGAAAAGACCCCAGTTTACTCAGCTTAGTAGCTGTGTGCCACCACATTCTGACTGAAAGTAATCTTGCAGCTTACTGGAACAGCTAGAAACATAGAAGAATTGTTTGACTACTAAAGCATAAAAAATAGAGGTGCTTCTGTAACTCCATGTTTATTTCTGATGTGTGCTGCCATGTTTCTTGTGAAAATCCTGTGGTTTCAGTAAAAATTTCAAGGCAGAGCTAGGGTGAGCAGACCCTAGTGAAAATACTAGTTTGATTGACAAGACTGTGAGAAACATTCCTTGATTGTGTCCCACTGTTGTCTTGGGAGTCCTCAAACAGCTCTTAGCACTGAAGGTCCTTCCGTGCATTAAATTTAGTTTCAGTGAAATTTTGTGTCTTCGTTTCAATTTGCAGCTTGTGACTAAGGGCTGTGAAACAGTGGAGATGACTCTGCGCAGGAATGGTCTGGGCCAGCTTGGTTTCCATGTGAACTACGAAGGCATAGTGGCAGATGTGGAGCCCTACGGCTACGCCTGGCAGGCGGGTCTGCGGCAGGGCAGCCGGCTCGTGGAGATCTGCAAGGTGGCCGTGGCCACCCTGAGCCACGAGCAAATGATTGACCTTCTCAGAACTTCGGTAACGGTGAAGGTCGTCATCGTCCCGCCATACGAGGACTGCACGCCACGCAGGTATCATGTAATTAGCTACGTCTGCTCGGGAATGTTATCTTGATTGGGAGGGTCGGGGAGAAGGGAATGCCAAAGAATAAGTGTTGACCTCCAGAACCCGTGGTATAGTTGTAATAGAGCATCCGGTATCATAAAGGTGAAAAAGAAGAGCAGGAAAAACTGCCCATATTCAGCCTGCAGGAGCCACAAAATATTAATTGAATACCACATTTTAATAAAATGGGTGAAGAACCTCAGGTATCCTTGAAATTCTGCAGAATGTAATGTGGAAATCAAGCAACGTTGTTGTTGACGGTTGTGTTTACGAAGCATCAAAACTGATTGCACGTTTCCCTCCCTGCTTGCCCGTTCGTTGGTATTTTGCAGTGTCTGTGGATGTAATTCTTGAAACCTATGAGTAGACTTATGTTCTTCGTTCACAAATCAGTAAGGCTGTAAATGATAAGAGTTTATCAAAGGTATGAATCTGGCCAGAGAAATAGCTTGCAAATTGTACTTCTTTACTCAGTAGTAGATCTTGCTGCATCTCTCTCACTTCCAATCTGTGTTATGCCTGAGGCTTGTGTCAACTGTATTATTACTTTTATAGCTTTAAAATGTTGCTTGATCAGAAATAAGCAGTAATATGTGCTTTTTTTCTAAATTGGACTTTAAGTTCCTCTATTTTTCCTGAACTCACACTAAAGCTTTTCGTAATTTTTACTGCTCCCATCTGAACTCTCTGTGGTTTTCTGTAGCATTCAGCCACATCACTAAATCTGATTCCCGTGTTCCTGACATCTTGTATTAATATCTTGCAAATGTTTTCTGATTAAAATGGAATGATCTTTAGTAGACTAAATCTGCCTGCAGGCTAGCTCAAGGTTTATGCTAGATTTATCAAGGAGAAGCAAGTACAGTTACCAAAGTTCAGTGTGTTCTTTGCGGTGAGAGAGCGTTTTGCATGGCTGTTTTCTATTCAGACAGTATCTTTGTAGGGGTGGATGCTGAATCTTTGTATACTTCAGCTTGGGGCTGAACTTAAATGCATATTTATTGCATTGGTAGGAAATGGCATGAGCAAAGACCTCGTGCTTGCAGAGAAGAATCCATATTTGTTTTTACTGTGAGCCATATTAACTCATTTTGTAACTGGTAGCGAAACCAGGAGCAGTGTGAAAAGGAGTTTTATTCGTCCTTTAGTTGTCAGTGGGAAATTGAATACATGTCAAGGATTAAAATGAGCGGTGGCGTAAGGTCACCCGTGAGGTATTTGGAAAGCTTTTGTGCAGTATTTAGCAGCCCGAGCAAATGGAAAGTTCAGCTGCAATCATGGCAAAAGGATTAGAGCAGAAAAATCTGCGTGGAAAGCACAGATCCTATTATTCCTGAACTAAATTAAGTACAACCAAAAGCAGGCTTAGCTTTAATGTATCCAAACCTATAGCAGAAAGAGAAATTACTGCACTTTCTGAAATACTGCACTCTGCATCATTGACTTTTGTTGTTGTCTTGTAGTGAGCAAATGATCATGGTGGATTATTGCCGAGTTATAAAATTTCTTAAAGCAGCTCTTGCTGCTGTATCCAAAATCATTAAGGTTCAGGAACTGTGTCTTGAATTTATAGCCACTCTACATATATTACTAGATACTTAAGTCTTTGCACAAAGCAATTTCTCTTTTGGCGGTCAGTTTCCAAAATTGGAGTCCTTTCGTCACATCCTCTGGAGGTCGTTTAGTATTTTCTACTACACTAACTTCTACAGCCTGTAACTGAAATGGTGATCAGTTCTGCTTGATGTAGTACATTCGTATGAGAAGCATTCCCTGTCCTGCTAAACTGATTGGCATGAAGTTAGAGGAAGAGCAGGTAATTTGACTTAGCAGGCACATGTACAAGGTCAGTAGCAGAGACAAAACTACATCGGAACGCCCCGATTCACAATCGAGCCCTACACAGAGGCTGGCCGTATCTCTCCTAAGAGTGGTGGCTAAAGCATTGCCTTTGAATTCATTTAGCAGACTGGTGGCTGCCCTTGAAGTTAAGGACACCACAGCAAGAGGAAATTGTGATCTTACTTCTTAGACTGTGTGGCTATGTCTGAGGGGAAAAAAACCCAAATAAGTCTCTCCAGATCATCCTCGTTTCTTGTGCAGTGATTCACATCCCAGAGTGGCCTGGGAGCACACAGGCTTTCCCTTTCAGGTGAAACTGGACTTGCGTGTGCTTCAGAAGCCCGTCTCATGCCTTCCAACTGCTAATTTGCGGTCCAAGACTGGAGAGCAGGCCAAAGTAAACCCACAAAGTGTGTATATTGTGGACAGCAAGACCTCAGCACCCACTGTTTCACCTGGTCTCCTCCTGTGAGACTGCACAGCCTGCTGATGGCAGCATAGTCGGATCCCAGGCTATCTATTTTGGTTTATATTTTAACTGGGAAGAGATACTGGTATTTCTCAGCATTAGTGGTGTAATCACTTAAGAGGAAGAGCTAGAAGGAGAAAATCTTGCACTAATTGTTTTTCCTTCCTGTTAAATAATGATGTGTGTAGGTAAACAAAGTAATGACAATTTAAAAAATCGCTTAAATGGAGGCATATGCTTTAGTCAAGAGAAATACCGAAATTACCATCACAGGAGCTGAGGGTCACATCTGCTTTCCAAATCTCTCGTTTTAAATCTATGCAGGAGTTTGCCCTGCATCTTATGTGGACTGCATTAGCTTATGTCCTGTTCTGTTCCATCTTTTCTGCTGTACGGTCCCTGCACAGCCTCAGGAAGCAGTGGGCATCTTTTGGGCTTGGCACCTGCAATTTTTAGCAAGTGTTTTCCTTTTGTAATGTGCAGATTTATCAGTGGAGACACTCCAAAGCCAAAGATGTTTGAAAATTAAGTGTAATGCGGTATTTTGTGGGAGTCTTACTTTTTTGTGAATGCTTCTGCATCAGTAAGATTTATCTCAAGAAGAACAAAGGTTCAAGTCTTACGTGTCTGGGTACAGGTAAGTTCTAAAACCTGTGACTTTTTTACGTTAGGAAGGAGAAGTACCCTTACGGCAGATTTTTTATCGTTTCTAACCCAGTAATCAGATGAAGAGTATCAAAATTTCTCAAGTATATATTTTTATAAAGAAAAATTTTGCATTTGCTGTTTCATAGAATTGATTCAGCTTCTGTGTCCAGATTTGTATCCTTGTGAGCAGGATATATTTATTTTATTTTTTATAGCAACTTCAATTTCTTCATTTCCAGGAGTTCTTCCGAAAACTACCGCATGCCAGTGATGGAATACAAAGTGAACGAAGGAATGTCGTATGAATTCAAGTTTCCCTTCAGAAATAATAACAAATGGCAGCGAAATGCAAGCAAAGGCCAGGGACCTCACGTGGCTCAGGTACCATCCCAGATACAAAGTCCGGTGCCGTCTAGGATCGGCTCTGGGAAAGGAGAAGGAAAGATGGGACCCCCGGAACGAGCAGCCAACATCCCCCGCAGCATCTCCAGCGACGGGCGCCCGTTGGAGAGCCGGAGGTATGTGTGTCCTTCACAAACGGCTTTTTATTGCTGCTCAGAATCTTACCTGGAAAAAACACAGTAGACTTATCTAAGACCGCTTTTAATCTCAGTTTTAATTAGACGAAAGGCAGAAGAAACGTGAGCAAAATGTTAGCCAAAAGGAAATACTTTTCCTAGCATGATGAACCACAAAATGAAATGTTACGGGACTCTCAGGCTCTATTGGATGGTGCTCTAGAACTGCTGTGTTGCTATTTAAGTTTTAAATGAGTTACCGACAAAGTTTTAGATCTATGGGTTCCTGAACTTCAGCATCAAATCAAAGTTTTAACTTTTTCTATAGACTTGGTAGAGTTGCCTAAAGTTCCCGAGGCAGAAATAGCATCTAAGAGGGTGTTTAGCAAGAGAATTCTAACCAGAGAGCAAATTCATCTGATTGGGGAGTTTTCAAACTTGTAGGCTAGAGAAGAGATTGCTTTAAGTTTGCATTTCTCCACAGTGGTTTGGGGCTTGTTTTTGTTTTGTTTTGTTTGTTTTAAACAAGGAAGTGATTATTATTGAGATAAAGGTATCAGGCACATCCTGTCACAGTATTTTCATTTTTTAATGGAAAAAGATGTATTTGATAGTATTCAAATGAACTGTCATTGTTTTGATTATCTGTACGAATCTGTCACTGTCTGCTATTACAAAGAGATCTGTTGAGGGAAACAAGCTTGTAGCTTGTATTTCTTATTTTGGACAATTCCATGGGGGAAAAAAAAGAACTGTAGACAGATTCTGATTGTGCTTTATGTTGCTGAAAAACATAAAGCAGTGGAAATTAGATGCATATTGTAGAAAATTTAAAGAGCGTTCTAATGAATTAACTGAAAGCTTTTTCCACATTATGAAAAACTGGGGAGTAAAAATCAAAGTGACAAAAGCTACAGCCAAGACCAAGAAACTGCAGTGGTGAAATTGAAACTTCTGTGTAGGACACCTTAAGGAATTAACATAGTTGATGAGGACTTCATTTTCTTTCTTTTTCATTAGAAACTATTGTATTTCTGCAGTCATAATGACAAGAGAGTGCCCCCCAGTTGTAGCTTGATGTGCGTTTAGTCGGTGTACACTTAACGCTACTATCGGTCTAAATTGCAAGAGAAAATTTGTCACACTGAAAGCATCAATAATTTCACAGCCAGCCATATAAGGTTGTCTCTGGAAAAGGTTGCAGAAGCCAGTGAGATACTGGACTTAGCTCTCTAACGAACATAAAAATTGCTTAGACGAACATAAAAATTGCGTGGCTCAGGCTCTAACAGGCAGATACAGCCTGAAGACAGGCAGAGGCTGAATTTGAAGGAATAGGAGTTGGGACCTTGGTTGTTTTTGCTCCTTCCAGTGCTGTAGGATCTCACCCTGTGATTTATGGAGAGTGTAGCAATACCTGGGCAAAGTTCTAAGGCAGTGACAGAAGATCAGGTTCAGCTGAGCTGCTGTTTTTTTCAGATGCTTCCATCTCTCCGTGGCAGTAACCAAAGAATTTTGTCTCGAACGGGCTGCTCCACAGCTCGTGCCGAGGAGAGCGAGTCTTTGGCTGCACCGAGAGACGAGGTGTTAGTAGCTGTGTTTTTCTTGTGCATAAAATCCTGTGTGGGCAGCATCGCACACTTAAAGCATCCAAGATTGATCCAGTCACTGGATGCTTCTAGATGGGTGGGTTATGGCCTGACACATGTTTGCAAGGTGAAAATTATGTTTCCATATACTCAGTGTTTGTTTTTGAAAAGTGAAACTTTGACTTTCCATTTCCTTTGCTTTCAAACCATGTAGCTGGAGTTTTTCTCCTCTAGACATTCTTTTAGGTATTTTTTTAGTTATTATTCAGAAAGGGTTCTATTGGATCTTTTAATCCTCTATGTTATCAAAGTAACTTTTAAGTTTGGCTGGGAATTGTTTTGGACGCCTGAAAAATGTCTTCTCTCTTATCTTTCTGGTCTACTAAACATATTGGTCTTGGCTGGATCCACTTTAAATGTAACAGCAGCTGCATAAGGTTAACATGTTTCCAGTTAAAGAAAAATACATATTTTTGTTATTTTAAAGGAATACCAAAGGAAGAAAAAAGCAGTAGTTTACCCTGACTCTCATTTTTGTCCTCTCTGCGTGGTAAAAGAAAGCGTTGCTCTTGGAGAACGTATCATGCTTCTATTCCTATTGTGTAAAATCTCTAAAATCAACAATGATGAGATGATTCATAGCCCCTAACTCCTGTCTCATTTAATTTTTCGTCACTAACTTTCATACTTTCTGTAGCATGAAGATCTCTCAGGAGCTGCTGGGATCTGTGCGGGTGGCTGGCACGGGGAGCAGTGATTGAGCCTCTCTGCCACATTCTGCTCCCTACAGTTTGTTCTTTGCTCGACCACTGGTTGGAGATTGGGAGGACCCAAGGGGTAATCTGGGTCATACAGGTACTGGGATCGATACTTGGTGGTCCCTGTGATCCAAAAAGAGCCCCTCTAATTAACGTGGTTATAAATATGGCCCCGCCATATACAAGATGGATACCTCAGTCGCTCACTCTCTGCAGAATTTATATTCTATAGAGCTATTTTAAAGGGTTTTAGAAAAAAACACTTGTCATTATGGCTCGTTAGCCAAGCAGTACACATACCTGAGATTTCCTTACTACTGTTAGAGCTTCATTTTCAAAAACAAGGTCCTGCTTAAGTGTCAGTGAAGCTGGAAACTTACCTGTGAAGATCAGCATCAGTAAGTAATGTCAGTACTAAATTGTAGCTGTACCCTCAATTTTAATCTTAGGTTGTGGTTGAGATCACTCAAGCAGTTCAGCCTTGCTGATGTTTGAGTGGTCTTAATACTTGGTTGCTTTGAGGCCGGAGCTCTGCCTTTTGATGTCATGATCTTCATTTATCTTAAAGATTTTTACCAGCCAAAATGATTCTATGATTCGGTTGAGCCAGGCACAGCGACAGTGGTGGCAGATCTCATCTGCTGCCAAGAAGTAGCGATCTGTGGTTTGTGATCTGTGTTTCAAGGCAGCTGCGAAACCCGCGGTGAGTTGATCCGTGGCTCTTGGAGCTCTGAGTGGGAGCTGGTTTTTCGAACTGGTGCTGGTAGCAGTCGCCCAGGCCCACGGAAGGTGGGACTTCAAAGAATGAAACAGGGACATCGTAATATTTCCAACGCGTCAGACCTGATGCAGCACTCGTTTTTAATGGGCACATATCAGGAGTAAATCCATTACTTATATTAAGTAGTTAGGAAAAAAATATTTGAGGGATTTAATTCAAGCAAAAACAGCTTAACAGACAGATGTTATTCCTCTTTAAGTACAAAACACTCTCAGAGTATGGTGTAACTCTTTCCTTAATTACCTGCATTTGAGTGATGACCACTTTATAGAGCTAGATTCTCTAAATATGCGTACTGAGTGAAATTTTTTTTTTACCCTTGTAAATATTTTCATTATAGCCCATTTCTCTAAGTTAAAAATAAACAAAAGCTGCATTACTGTTCCTGAGATTGGGAAGATTTCACTTCATTTGCATAAAAGCATCTTCATTCTGAGAAGACAGGCAAGTGCCCAGGCTTGTGCCGAAGCAGCAGAGTACTTAAATTTGCCTTTATTGGATTGTCTTCATGTATCCAACTCATTATCTTACACTTAAGTTCTCCCTGTTCCTCAGAGTATCCTGGGTCCTTGAATGCATTTGTAATGGATGCATGTATTTGCAGGCAGGAAAAAAAAAACCAGAAACTTTATAAATGTTAAAATTAAATTCTGATGTTACTGCAACATTAAGTCTGAGAAATCTAATAATACAAATGCAATAAATTCCAAGTTCGAGCTTCTTTCACAATGTTAATTAGTCCACACGGGATGCTATATAGCTTATAACCTAGAATAAATATCAGAGTGATACATTAAGGAAAACAATAAACCACATATATGTGAAGTATGTCAGAGCTAATGTTATTGGAGACAATGTAATTTTAGACCTTCATTAGTTTATTGTTTTTTCCATCCCAATTTTCAATTTCTATTTTGTGCACTTGGTTTCCAGACTTTGATTAAGAAAGAAATGTTCATGGAAAGGAGATGAGATAGTATTAGACGATAATCCTTTCTTAATTAACTTGCCATAATCTGGAACCAGTCTCAACTAAAACTTTATCCAAGAAATTTTTGAAAAGCATGTAAACCAGTGAGCAAATCGTGCTGCTGGACTCGTGCACCTCAGTGTACGGTTCAGTACTGTTATGAATGAAGGCTCAAGGCTCTGACTGGAAAAATCCTGAGTACAGTATTTTAAACCAAGTGGAAAACTGATGTATGGTGTGACTACAGCCAAGCATTGGCCGTCAAATTCCACAGTATGGAATTATTAGAGCAATATTCATTAAGACTGGATTTAAGTCTTACTGAGGACTTCAGAGCAGAGTCTTGCCCTAAAACTTTCTAGTTCTCTGAAGGATGTCAGTGACAGTAAGTGTGGCAGTCGTCGTTTACAGGTTAATTCCTGCAGATAGATTTTTAGTTTAAACTGTTCCCATATTACATAAAAATCCTAATCTGCTGGTGCTTAGCTTGGATCAGCATGTTTTCACTAATAGGAAGAAGCGGGTGTCTGTGCTCATCCTGCCGCCTGTCAAGTGAGCGTTGTAACACCCGTAGCGCTGCCTGCCTCACCGGCTGGGAGGATTTGTTTTTCATAACACTCCTCAAATTAAAACATGTACTAACATGAGATTATATATTACATGTTTCCTGCTGGCACCAAGACCTGGAGCTTGGATGTAGCACAGGAAAAGCAAAGGTTTGTTAGTACACTGGGCTGTACGGCCAAACTCCCGTGTTCCAAATGCAGCCTGTTGGGTGTTGCTTTGTCCAGAAGCCGTTCTCTGTCGCTGGGTGTCCCATGGCCTGCCCCTCTGGCTTTTCTTCCTATAATACACGTTTTCTGAAATGCGATGATCAAGTTACAGAAAAAAATATTTGAGGAGGTGTATGATGTGGTGTGAGAAGGTACAATATGACAGCGTAATTGCATTTTCTGGTTCATTTGCTCTCCCCTTCCCCCAAATTGCTGATGTTCTCTTCTTCCTTTTTAAGTGGCTTGGTGTCCGTTTTAATGTATGAGCATTGAGTCGGTGTATTCAGAGAACTGTCACATCTTTGCAGTATTATTAGGATTACAAAAATCCATCACGTGGAAGGTACACATGCCAGGATTAAGATTTGCCGTGCAATTTTGTTCAGCACTCTTGTGTAACCATATTTTTCTGATACTTCCTTTGATTAAATTATGAGAATTTCTTTTAGCAGAGGACATCTGCCTCATTTAGTTCACACAGTGGATGCAGCTCATTAAAGAAGAGCTATTTAGTATTTTATTTTACTCTTCATTACTCCATCCCTTATTTACTGGATGGCATTCAAATCCTGCTGTAAAGATGCAATTACTAATTCCCCTCTAAGCTTTACAGTGGTGCCCATTACTGTAGTTTCTGAATGCTTCATGGGTATTAATTAAACTTAATTTTCAAAACTCTTGTGAGAGAAGAGATGTCTTTGGCCCTCTTCAGATTAAGAACAAAGGTAGAGAGAGAAATTACATTCTAAATCATTTACTGTGTCTTATTTTGGGCATCTCATATTTGGAAGTGTGCCCAGCATTGTTAATATTTTATATATTCAAATTACAGCTTCAGTTGACTTCAGCTGCTTTGGTAAGTTTTCAGCTCAGAAGTAAATCGGGCCTTGGGATCAAATAAGGCCTTTGAGAAACTTGCAATTAGTGACAATGAATGAAAAATTCTCTTGAACAAATATGCCAGCGGTCATAGTGGAGCGCTGTGAGATGAGAATTCAGTTTGCTAAGTCAGCACGGAGATGCGGTGACTGTGAGGACATCCCTTCTCTTCTCTTCTGCCGGCCTGCACCTCCTTCGCTTCCACGCTGTGCGGCTCTCGCGGGAGCGGTCGCAGCACAAAGCAGAGCTGCTCCGGACAGAGCTCCTGACCGAGAAGCCCCCCCCTGCCCCACGTACCACTGTGTAACTAAACACTGCCCGAGGCACCAAGCGTGCTAGACCGACTTTTTTGTTAGAACGTGCATACTGAAAATGTGAGGAAAATGGCAGCTAATGACACGGAATTTAATTTAGTGAGAGCAAGGTAGATGCTCTGGATGTCTGCGTTGTCACATTAAACAAAATAAGTGTGCACCCATCCTGCTCGTTGCCTTCACAAAAGGGGATTTTCTTGCCGTGCTTGGCAAGACTCACCCAGTCCTTCTAGGGTGAGCTGGACCTGTTAGAGCTAAATCACGCGTGGTGTAATCCCTGTTCAATTGACTGCAGTGTAATTGTATCTGTTTAATGCCATGGACGCTTGGCCTATTTTTAAATTCAATTAAGGGACTCATGCACTTAACCATTTTGAAATTTTCTTCTTAAAGCTGCCTTTTGAAAGACATAATAGCTTGGTTTAGTCCAATTTCTAATTATGAATTAAAGACAAGCACAGAGCATCTTAACTACAGAGGCATACAGCTAACACAATACTCCTTTTGTCTTGGAAAGTGCCTTTCATCAATAGATTTCAGAGCGACTCACAAAGTCAATTTGAGCCAATTTACTCTAAAGTTCTTTTGTCTTATTTATATGTTTTGCATAAAATGAAATGTCTTTCACTGTTAATGTTTTTTAGTGCTGTTGTGAACTGCATCAACAAAATGTGTCGCTGCTTTGGATGACAGGGCGTCCTACCGGGCTGGTTTTTCATTGCTGTTGTTGAGACCACATTTATAATATAATTTTGTTTGCCCTCAAGGTCTTTCATCTTTGTAAATGAGTTATAACTCCATGACATAGTTCTAAAGTCTTGACATTCCTTCCAAACCGTGCTGTCAACGTTTTGGTAAGGCAGAGGAAGTAAAGAAAAGGCATAGCTCAACCTGAAGTGAAAACGTAAGCATTTTCCAATGGGAAATAATTTTACAGAAATTATTTGAGAAGTAATTGGTTTCCTTGTCATAATTTCTAATTTAGTATTGGAGGAAAAAAGGTCATAATTTTAAACTGTGAATTGTGCTGCCAAGCATAACGTGAGTTTAAATGTGCTTGCCTATATAGATGAATGAATGCTATTGAAATCACATATTTTTGTTGGCAGAACTATTTTTTTTTTTCCTCTTTGTAAGAGTGCTGCTGGGAAAATGAACTGCCTGGCTCAAGGCTCTCCAAGTTTCTAACTCTTGAACCATGTTCTTTGCAATCAAATATTTTGGACTTGTTGTTTGATAAATGCGAGATAAGTTAAATTCAGTTTGGTAGACTAGAAAGGAATTACTGGATTTGGTATGGTCCTTGTGATGGTCAGACGTTAGATCATTCCTTTCTGGTCTGGGAAAAGGAGTTGCTATTAGTCATATGCACTTCATGACATTCCAGGCGATCAAGATGTTTGGTCTGGTCCTGCTGCTCTTTTCATTTTAAGATTTTATTAGTTTACTGTGGTTTTTGCAAAGTACTGAGGGGGATGAATGCGCATTTGATATGTACACACACACGTGCTTTGAATATGTACACATAGGTAACTAGTATTAATCAGAGCAATGGGGTTTTTTCACCGTCAAAAGAATTTTTCTTACAGTATTGTGGTGAGAGCTGATTAAAATCTGCCACTCCTTTACAAATACAGTGGCTACGCTAAGATCTTGTAAACCCCTGAACCCACATTATGTATCTGTGTGTTTCACTAAAGTCAGTATGCTTTTTTTTTTTAAATGGTAAAAGTTAAATCAGTGTTTAACTTAAGCTACAGTATTTTTCCTAGTTCAAATGAGTAAAGGTTTGAGTTCACGGTGGGATTTCGATGTTCATGGATGGCGTAATTCAAACTCCACATAAATCCCTGCCAGAGGTTCTTGATGGCCTCAGTCACCAACAAGTAGAACACAGAACTAGCTAGGAGCAGTGAATTCAGTTGGGGTTTGGGAAACAAAATGCACAAAGCAGAAAATGATGTAGAAAAGCCTTCAAGTACAGAATAGGATTTACAAGTTGAGCAGTGTAAGCCTGCGGCTTCCAGACAGGCTGCCCAGGTGCACGGGTTGCAGTTCTTAGCCCTTGTATTTGTTGTGTGGGTATTCTAACAGGAGAAGGCTTCGTGTGACTCAGGTCTGTATTTTTAAGCAGAGTTCCAATATGATGAGATAGTTTTATATTAGAATGTTAAATATTTTTTTGGGGGGGAGGGTAAGGTATTTCTAGATAACACTACCTTTTTTTACTCCTTGTGATTTGATGTGGACAGTTTGGAGGTAGGGATAAGCTTGATACTCTCTGAAGAGTTTGCATAGACAGCTCACTGCATTTAGTTTAAATTCCAGACAAGGGTTGGTTAGGAGAGTTAGAGATAATTTGTTCTGTTTGGTATTTGGTGAGGAATGTCGTGTGGCTTTATTCCTTACAGGCAATCTATAAAAACAAATCGGGGCTTTAGAAACTGAGATGTTTTCCTAGTGTGTGCTGGGATTTTCCTCCCATCCTTGTCTCTCTTCATTTACCCCCCTGCAACCAGCTTTTTACACCTGATTTTCCATGGTTTCTAATAGATTAATAAGGGGAAAGTGTCTGATCCTTCAACGGACTTCAGTTCTGCTGTCACCGCGATGCCGTGTTCTTTGACGTGCCGATTTGGGTGGCGTTGTCCGTCAGGCTTTGCGCTGCGACATTGCTGTTCAGCATTGGTTCAGTACTGGTTCGTTTGCTCTGAACAGGTTGTCTCCTGGTTCCGATGTCTACGTCACCGTTTCATCCATTGCCTTAGCAAGATCGCAGCAGTGCCGCAATTCTCCGAGCAACTTATCGTCCTCAAGTGAGACCGGCTCTAGTGGGGGCACGTACAGGCAAAAATCAATGCCGGAAGGGTAGGCACCACACTTTTTCATATTCTTTTTAGGCAGTGGTTTGGGTTTTTTTTTCCCTCTGTTCCATTTGTTGTAATATATGTTCAACTAAAGGAGTGTTACACAGCCTCCTGTCCGCTGTTGTTTACATGCATTAAAAACCATGTTTGTTTTCAACAATCACTGTCATGCCTCTTGAAAAAGTCAGCTTCTAAAATCCCTTGCTTCCCACCTTTGTCCTTTGCGACCTAACATCTCTCTCTGATCCTAGTCTGCAGCTGCACAGGTTGCTATACAAAGGGATTTTAAAAAAATCTTCATTAATGGTACTGATTTTATCTTGCAGATTGACTCATTTTACAGTTTAAGATTGTAAATGAAAGTAAGCGGTAGGTTTGGGACTTTGCAGTCTGTGCTAATAGTTGAAGCAAAGTAGTGGCGAGTGCAACTAAAATTTCAGATGTGCTGGCACAAAAGTGCTGAGTAATCTGCCGCTAGTGTCTCCTTCACGTATTCACAGTCATCCTGTCTTAAGGTGCTCTCTTCCAGCTTTGCAGAAAACTTCAATCTCTCTGAAGTGATCCATTGTCAACACGGGCAGCAAATTACAGAGGAACAAATTAAATCCGTGTCATTTTCAGAGAGCACTGAAAGGAGCAATAAATCAAGCATCTCGAAGGAGGGGAAAAAAAAAAAAAATAATTGGCAGCAGGAGAACTTCTACCACATTCCAAATTTCTTCCTATAGAGAAGATAAGGGGACAAAACTGATAGTCCACATGGCAAAGCTTCCCTCTGATGTCTTCTTGAGTACATTGCAGGTCATTGTGTGTAATTCATTCTGGTTTGGATCTTCTCTAAAGTGGAAGTATCTTTTTCCCTGTTTTAAAAACACTTACTATTAGTAAGATTACGTACCGTTGTCAGGAGCTGCTTAGCACGAAGCACAGTCTTGCTGGTTGAGGTGTCTCTAAGGGGACGCAACTCTGTGTCGATTTGAAGGATGCTGTTCTGAGCGTGCATTTGCACAAGTGCTGCTTCTTGCTCCAGGGTGATGAAGATATTCTCCTCCTTGCACCTCAGTTTGAGGTTTTCTGAAGAGGCCGTCTGTTCTCTGCTGCACGCCCTCATGAAGGCTTCGATTCATGAGACCTGTTCAAGTCATTATTTAAGTTCGTGCAGATCTCCTGCTGACATTAGGAGATTTGCTCTAAACCCATTAAACTTTGCTGTAAGGGAACGAAATAAAAGCGTCCAGAGCTCCGCAGCTGGAAAAGGCACTTAACCTTTTTATATGCTGTGTAATTCCTGGCTCCTTCGTGCCAACAGCACTTACGTGTTGCCTTGAATTCTGAAGAGCAGCTTGTGCTCCCGATATCTTGTCTGCTCTTTCCCAACTATGTCTTTGCTCTGCAAGAGAAGTATTGCTGCCATATGTCCTTAGACCGTCACAAGCATAACTGCTTGAGTAGGAAGGGATTTTCAGACACACTGGGGTTCGTGTTTTGAACTGGTTTCAGAGCACACCAGCACCCACTCCAACCCTTTTCTATCGTGTAAGTTAATTATACACATATGTTCACTGCAGTATTGTTTGAGCATTTTGCAAGATCAGCAGAGATGTGTCCTAGAAACCTTGCGTACAGTCTTTTGGGTTGTGAAGTTTTAGTTCGGTGCAAGGACACGCTATTTAAATGGAATAATGAAAGAATTAATTAATACATGAACTCAGCGTGTTCCTTACTGGACGCTTTTGAAAAAACCCACTTATTAAACTCCAATTATTTGACTGCTATTCTTAAAGGAAAGACACTTCGCCTCCCGTACTGTCCTTGTGCACGTGAATCATATTTACTCAGGACTTTCAAAACATTTTCTGCCAGAATTAAGATACCATGAAAAATGTAATTACGAAGGAAACTTCCCCTTGCCTCAGTAAGGAAAGTAATGTCTGCCACGTTATCAAAAATCATTGCAGGACCATGTGCACCTTCTGTTGAGATTTGTCTGAGAGACCAGGTTCAGGGCAGCTCCGCAGTCGTCTTCGGTGTTAGTAGATGGCACTGGTCAGCAATTAACCCACACGCGTTGTTACAAGAGAGGAGAGATATTGTGGCGTTCAGCTGCTGAGATGTTGGGGAGAAAGACTGGCTGGAGTAGGGGCTGAGGGACCACCAGGCGCTGAGCGTCGTTTCCCAAAGGGAGGCTCCGAGGAGCTCTGGGTGCCACCAGTCCCTGAGATTTCCCCGCACAGGAACTCTCAGCCACGTAATCTGGGTAGGCATGTGTTCCTTGTTGCGTGCTGTGACAGATTTGGAAAGTTTGTGAAACTTAAATGACTGGAAGCATGGGCGTGAGTCCAGCCCCTGTCAGACATGGGTAAGAGCAGTAACTGCTGCCTCTTCTAGATTACTGGTCTGTGTCCTAAGCTGGATGTAGGCAAAAACCTCACTGCCTTCAAGATCATCCAGATCTGTCTTTGATGTGCGTATCTGTGTGTTTCGTGTACTAGCCCTGTGTTTACCTGAAGGTATGTATGTGTAATGAATGATTACAGCATGTAAAAGTTAAATTCAAAAATACTAAAATAATACATTTCTTCTTTTGACATATATATAAAATGTGTATTTAAACAATGTCACTGTTTAATCCAGATTTATTTCTCTTTCAAGTTCTTTGGGTTCATCCCTACGTACCCTAACAGGCTATATAACTAAGCAGCCTAGACTGTAACACCGCCTGCATTTATTATTCTTGGCTTGAAATAGCCTGCTTCATGTAAAAAAGGCAACCTAAATATTCTTGCAGTTTAATTAGTAGAGCGATTATTTTAATGAAATAAAATTTAGAACATGATGGATTGGAACATGGATGTATATTTTCTTATCTTGAAAAAAAGGTCCCACATCATAAAATATGCCAAATGCAAAACTGACTGCTTCTGTACATGTGAGCATCGTGGGGTTTAAGCAAAAGGACAACACACAGAAAGTAAAATACTGATGCAGTGCAAGTTTATCACAGTGAAGCTTCTTGAGGTCTTGGCTGCTTCTTTTAGATACCAGCTTCTAGTTATTTTATCATGAAAAGATATGTCTTAAACTTTGAAAATTACCTCAGATCACCATTTAAAGATCAGCTTTTGAAATGTGTTCGGACTTCTTACGCATCTGTTGAATTGGCACTGAATGCATCGTGTTTAATTTAAGTGTTTGATTAAGTGAAATCCTAGCTAGTCTGTTAAGAGCGTTGCTCATTTCATGCATTCCCCATTTAAGTCGTTTGTTTTCAGAAGGCAGATAAATCCTGATACATAGGGTGGGAGTGAGATTTTGTTGTTTTGAGCCATATGATGTTTCTTTGGTGGGTTCATTTGAGTTAATGAGTACATGAACTTCCAAATGGGATGACCACACCAGCTTGTTCGAACAGGTGGGCAGATGTCTGATTTACAGCGGGGGTCCTGTGGGGTGATCTGTAGCGTATAGAGTCAGTAGAAGGCACTGTTCAGGTATTTTGCATTCTGTTACTGTGTTAGTCACATAGAGCAAGAGAAACTCCTTGATGTATAGAGACTATACCAGCTTGTTGTAGTTCTTTTGGGGGTTATTCTGTGCATGTAGAAATTTTTTTCTGTCAAGGAATGTCGGGGCAGGGTAAACCAACTCAGAAGTGCATTATTTTTGACAAATTCTTAATGATTGGTGTGCTCATTCTGAACCCAACTATAATTCTTACACACTTACAAGTGACTCAGATGTAATACAGATTTGTAGATTTTATTCTTACAGGCTTTTAGGCATGTAAGACATGTAGGCTTTGGTACAACACAGAGGCACTCTTTGTGTCATTTGTCATTAGTTCTCCTTGAGTTTACTGTATCTTTCTTGAGCTTTCCAAAATCTGTCTGACTAATCCAGCAGAGTTTACAAAGTCCACACAGTTTTTCTTTTGCACTGTATGCTTTCTTCTACAGCAATGGATATATACGTCTTGCTGCTTTCCTACAGCTGTATTTAGTTTGCACTAATCCACTCAAATTATTTTATGAACAAATAATAATTTACAGAATTTATAAGCACCAGGTTTGGGAAACTCCTAACCAATACACTCAGCTTATTTAAAATACGTGGCAGTGTAATATTGTCCCAGATGAATTTGTTGTTTGTGTATATGTCTGCACCCACCTACCTGTGACCTTACTAGTCTGTTGCTTAGAACCCGGGAAGGTGGCCGAGATCCATGGGTTTGTCCCAACAGGCTTTTCTGATACTCGCTTTGACTAATTTGAGGTAGAGCTTGCCCAGGTAAAAGGATCTGTCCTTGATATCTTCTCCCAATAAATGCACCTCATTTCTCTGTATGGCTTTTATCCAGACTTCTTAGGTTTTACTCATTGTGGTCAGTTTTCTGTCACCATGTAATGGTCTGGTCACCTTTCCATGTAAACATCTATATGAATGAAAGCAATTTTATTTCTAGATGCTTTGGTCTATTTGGGTTTTTTAATTTTTTTTCAATTGTATTCTTGATCAAAAATGCTCAACAAATTCATGTGTACTCTAACTTTACACGTTAAAGGTGCTAATTGGGTCCTGAGAGCTGTGGCAGAATTTAAATGGAAAAGCATTATAAATCCCTCAAGCAGTTGTGCTATCCATTGGTCTGCCCTGTTGTTTGACACTCACTTCTTTAAAGTGCTCTTTTCTCCTTCTATGAGATTGATGCATATTGAAAATCATTATCTGCTTTGTCTTTTTTGGGGTGTTACAACAGGTTTGGAATTAGCCGTAGATCCCCTGCTTCCATTGACAGGCAGAACACACAGTCGGATACAGGCGGTAGCGGCAAATCCACACCCAGCTGGCAGAGGAGCGAGGATAGTATCGCTGACCAGATGGGTAGGTAACTAATTGTTTACAAGGAGCAAGTGGTGCTAACCACAAGGTGACTTTGGCGATGCTTCTCCATGCGGAGAAAGAACCCTCCCAAGCACTGTATTTTCAGTGTCTTTGAAAGTTAACCTTGTTCATCGGGATGAGTAATTAGGTCTGGAGCGTGTATGAGCTTCTGCAGTCTGTTTCCTTGAAAGCTATGAGTATCACCTGAGGAAGAAGTTAATTCAGTTCTTCATTTGATTGTGGGGCTAAATCTACCTTAATGCTCTTACCCTGAAACAGTCTGTCCTTTTAGAAGCGGCTGGGTAGACACAATCATCAATTTGTCTTGCTGTTGAGGACTTGTTTGACCTCACCTACCCTCCTGAGTGGCTTGGCTTAGTTTAATTTTTGCTTAGTTTGTCTAAAGTGCTTGTGATGCTCCTTTTCAAATGGTGCTATATAAATGCAAATTGATTGTTTGATCGTTGAAGCTATAAAAATACCATATACAGAATGGAAAAAATGCAATTAAAGTTTAAATAGTGAGGTAAATCTATAGCTTGGTAATCGCCTTCCACCAGTGTATACATTTTTCGTTGAGCTTGGCAATTAAGCTGTCAGCTGGGGGAACATACTAACTACATAAAACAGCTGGGTACTGCAAATTAGCTTTGTTAAGCCTTCATTTGAAGCTTTTTGCTACAGCTCTGGTTTGACTGGAGTGGACACTGATGAGACTGGCACCAGTGGAAGTGTCCTGTCTACAAATAGTGTTGATCCAACACAATGACCATGGTCAATGTTGCTAGATTGGTAACAAAGTTAGAAAAAAACCATAGGTTAAACAATTCCATACGTTCTCTGTTGCACTTCTAGATCATCGTTTTACTGCACCGCAGCTTTAGTTCTGCATAAATGGACGGGTGCCGAAGGCAGAATAGTGTTCAGTGAGATCAGCAGTAGTTTAAGGCAAATGTTCAAGTTCTGAAGATGTACTTTGTTCACATACCTTCACAACCTCAGTGAGCTGTGCCTTGTTATCGAAGCCATCTGTCAGTCCCTCCCTCACAACTCCCCCCCGTACTTCTCACTAAAAAGCTGTGATTATACTGATCTGCAGCTCTCATCTTGACAGAGCGATTTTTAATCGCATATGTTTTGGTACTGCGTGATGGTAACGACACATGTAAAACCGATCTTTTGCTCAACGTTGCTTTTGCAGACCAACACTTGGGTGTTGGCACCGAGTGGAGCTGCCAGCAAGTTCTGTTCTGCGATGTCAGGTGTTGCATTATTAGCAGAATAAATAAATAAGGCCAAAAAGAACGGGAATAATTGTGTGGGAGAACTGATGACTCTTGGCATTTGGCACAGGCTGGGAAATACACACTGATGTATAATCCCTGTATTTTCTCTCTTGTGTGCTGTGCTGCATTCATAGAGTCTCAGTTGGAAGCTGCGTCTCTGACTGGAGACTTTAGTGCTGGTCTGGTGAGTCTAGGTGAAAGTTTGATTCTGTGACAAATAAGCACATTTCAACAAATAAGCACATTTCCACTTGGGATAATCTGTCTCAAGGTAAATAAGGCATTAGGTGCAGTGAATCCACACACTCGCTCCTTCCTGGCCCATTCTTAGCTTCAGAAGACTTTTGTTCTTGGAGCACCAACGTTATTTGCTACCACTTGCCAGGGCAAGTCAACTTGAATTATGTTTTTTTGCATACTTAAAAAAACGTTTTTTTTCTTTAAAAAAAAGAGAAGCTAGTAGTGCTGCCAATCAAGATGAACCAACTGTAGCCGTGCTGGGGAAAGCACTGCTAATTTCCATGGGCATTGTTAAGTACTTGATGTTCATAAGCACATATTCTGCTTAAAAGTATAAAAAAAAATTGTGTAACCTCAGGAGAGAAGAACATGGCAAAAGTCTTTCAAAATCCTGACCTTGGGCTCTGAGAAGGCAATTACCTGCCTGATGGGCTGTGTCTGAAGACCCTCTGGACTTTCATAGTTATCTCCTGGGAAAAAATAGGTTTAATTGCAAAGAGCCCTCCTGTGAGTGTCCATGTAAGATGAGTGATTTGAATTCCATCCACTTTTGTCAGGTTTAGTTTACTAAGTGTTCCTTTTGTACATCTGTGCAGTTTCCACATTCACAGTCATCACTTTTTAAGGGAATATTTTAATTTCAACAGATTTGCTAACTGAAAAGATATAAAAAAGAAAATGTTTATTTAACTCACCTTAACCTTGACAAGAAATATATGTGCTGGAGAAAATGCATTCATTTAAGTGATCACAGCACACGACGTGTGTGCTGTAGACTTTTGCTATTGTCCTGACTTGTGTAGAACACACCATGGAAGTGCAGGTCTTGCAATTCTTTATAAATTTTTTTTTAGTCTCTTGTCCACAGGCAATGTACATATAGAGAGAGGATGTCAATACACTGTGAAAATGAATATTCCACTGGTTTAATGCTTTGTTACGGTGCTGTTGGACATTGGGGCCCTGATACCATTCCGGTGGTTCTAACAAAAGCCCGAGTGGTGGCTGCTGGTGTTTCGCAAAGTCTGACTGATTTACGCCAGGCAGGAATGGGCCCTCACTAACTCACCTGTGTTTTGTCACAATATCAATTTATTTATTTTTTAATTCAGAGTGAATTTCATAGTAGTTATCCAAAGTTGTTGGCTAGGGGTAGCATTGGGAAGATTGCGGTGTAAGATTTGGTTACTCATTTTCTGAGCGTGTGGCGCTGTACGCGCTCTTCAGACCGTCGTCGTGTGCTGTGTTGCAGAGCCAACGTGCCACCTCCCAGCCGTATCCAAAGTGCTGCCGTCCTTCAGAGAGAGCCCCAGCGGAAGGCTGATGAGGCAGGATCCTGTGGTTCACTTGTCTCCAAATAAGCAGGGTCATGTAAGTTATCCTAAAAAAGGAATTATTTAATGGTTTTGCTTTTGCTCCACAAGCTCTTGGTACCAGAAGTGGTGTTCAAGGTTACATTTACAGTGCCAGTTTAAAAAAAAAATAAAAAACCCCTCAAGCCCTGTTCCTACTAGAACATGGAGGAAGGAGCAGAGCAGACCCGTTGTCTCCTGAATCCTACCGAAGCTAAGCACAGCCTACTGAAATATTTATTAGTTAATAAAGTTTTGCTGCCACTTGAACAGCAACTTCTTGTCTGTTTTCTTGTGATAAGTAGAGGATTTGTGGGAGTTGACAAAGCTATTCCTAGGCCTCACGTGTGAGACTTAGTTTACCAATACATTTTATAATGCAACGCTCAGATGCCTGTTTGAGACAGAGTAGCGACCTTGTTCTTTGGTTTTGTATTTTCTCCATTTTCCTCATCTAATTTAACTATGACTTCCTTTCCATAAATTGCCCTGCACACTCTTGGAAGACTTTGCCTGAAAGGTCTGCTGGAATACTGCTGAAAAAAGCCCAAACCTTTGTTTTATTTGTGTCTACGGTCTAAGTGGTAAATTCAGTCTTTCTGGATCTGCAGAGTTAGATATTCACACCTTTTCAGAGACTGTCACTTCCCAGTTTACATACAGAGAGAGATAAATGCAGTAATGTTCATAATGTTAAAATGTCTTGAAAATTACTTAAGCCACTGGAATAAAAAGAAACCTACCCTTTAAAGTTTAAATTGCCCAGTAAGCTGTATTACTTGTGTTTTGTTTGTACAATCAGCTAAAATAGGGACTTATGTTGCATGAATATAATGAAAGTATTAGTTGCATTTATTTAGATGTGATAGTCTTTAATTGGTCCCTGTTATTTGCTCCTGGTTACCAGTATTTTTTCAGTACAATTGGCAGTGTTCCTTTTAGGTTCTTAACTCATAACAACACATATTTATTATTTAAAAAAAACCAACACAGAAAACCCCCACAAAACAGAAGAAAACCAAAAACCCCAGCACACCTGTCTTCATATTCTTAGAGCACAAAATATTTTTTATATTTAGATTGACCAGTTTTCCATGAGATGTTTTTGACTGTATAATGATGTAACACATAACCCATTAGCTTGCGTGCAAAGTGCAGCACTGGAATCATTAATGCTTCCATTCTTCTCTTTTAGTTATTGTTAAAGTAAATCTTTATTATGTGGACAGATGGATGGGGGGGAGTGATGTGGTTCCTAATGAAGAGCAGTAACTTTAATTGGAGATAACTAGCAATCCAGATCAGCTTCATATTCCTCCAGGTTTTCTGTCAATTCTTACATAAGTTTCTTATTATACTAAATAAGAAACATGGTTGCTGAGATTTCTTGCTCTTGGTATACATCCATCCTCTGTTTTCCCTCTTTTATGGTGAAAACAGAACCAGTATCTAATTTTTTTTATTTGGCTGGGATCTCCACCCATGCCTGTTCGATAAAACTCCGTGGGCAGACAAATAGGAAAGGTGGTTCTACATCTCCTTTCGTCCCTTCCCTTATTCCCAGGCCCTCTGGTCACCAAACACGCACGTCCATTGTCTACCAAAAATCTGCTTCAGTTCTGATCAGAACTTGGTGTCCATCTGCAGAATTTATCTGAAATTAAGGAATTCGGGTGGATATAACTACCCCCAAAATAAGTGAGCTCCTAGGCAATGATGAGCGTACAGCGAAGAATTATCCCTGTGGTGGGGTGTTCCACCATTGCCCACTATGGAACTGAGGACGTTCAGTTTCTTTGTACCAGTGGACTGTGGCCCAGTGCAAAACACACAAACCAGCCAGACACGGGCATGCCCTGATGGGACAACCTAAAAGCATTGCATTAAAGTTTCCTTTCTTGCAGTTCTGCCTTTTGGAAAACAAGTTCAGATTAGTTAGATGGCATTTCAGTAATAATTTGCGAAGGACACGCCTGCTGAGGGGGAGATCTACACTGCTGCAAAGGGATAGGGCTTATTTTGCCCTACTCTAACCTTTCAATAGGCAATTGGATTATTTAAAATAACATGTGCCTTCTGTGGATTATGTTTCATGTTCTAAAACACCAGGGTCTTAAAATCAGAATCTTTTTAATTACTGTAGTTAGAAACCAAGTCAAAGTCTACACATTTTGGCCAATGTCATTGAAATGGACCAAGCAGAAGTGTGCTTGGAAGGAAACAGTGTAAAGTATTTTAGGACAAAATACAAACAACTGTTTCCCTGAATAGTTAAGGCATGGCTTCCAAATCTGTATGAAAGCTTTTCATGTGCACCCAGAACCGAACATATGCATTGCATTGGAATGAAGTGTTCAGTTTATTAGTCTGCTCATTGTGTCTGTCTGGTACTTCAAGGTAGAAGAGCTCCTTTTGGGCGATGGTGACTTTTGTAACTGTTGTTTCCTCCTCCACTACTGTTGCCATAATTTTGAGATAAACCTGCAAGTGTGGCGGTTTTGGTTTTTTTCTCTTTTTGGATTGTTGTTTCTTCTGCAGTCTGACAGCCACTACTCCAGCCATTCCAGCAGCAATACCCTTTCCAGCAACGCCTCCAGTGCTCACAGCGACGAGAAGTGGTACGACAGTGGAGAGCGCACCGAGTCCGAGCTCAACAGCTACAACTACCTTCAAGGGACTTCGGCCGATAGTGGTATCGACACCACTTCCTACGGGCCGAGCCACGGCAGCACCGCGTCCCTGGGAACAGCGACGTCTCCCCGCACGGGGCTCACGAAGGAGAAGGTGGCACCGCTGTGGCACAGCTCCAGTGAAGTGGTCTCCATTGCAGACAGGACATTAGAAAAAGAGAGCCACCTGGACCGAAAAACCGAGTCTTCGCTGAGCCTGGATCTTCACAGCAAGAGCCAGCCAGCCTCCAATCCTCTAACAAGGGAGAACAGCGCTTATAGTCTTAGTGATGCCGTCTCGCATACGAGGTAATTTTCACCTCTTAGGAGATTGACCCTTCCACACTCATTTTCCCATTCTCACTCTAACCTATCAAAAGTGAGAAGTGGATATTGAAGAAAGAGATTCCTGCTTATGTTAACCAGTGTTTTGAGAGAGCCCGCTGTGCAGAATGCTTGAAAATTAGACCACCTTTAGTCTGCGCATCTGCTACTGCTTATAATACTCGAGAATGTCTTTGAGAGCATCTTCCATATTGCTGCTGCTAAACTAATGCAAGACAGACACGTGCCTGATGTGTTCATGAGGAGTGTCTGGTAGTTCACATGTGGATCAGAATGGAGATTGGCCCATTTTATTCACAGTTTAACGTGGAGTTCTTTTTTAGACTTGGAAGTACACATTTCAGATGTTGTGCATTTTTCCCCCCAGTTTTTTTGTTTAGAAATCTACCTGCAGTCAGTATGATCAGTACCGAGAGCAAGTTGCTTGCAAGTGCTAGTATGCAGATTTTAATCTCATTCTGCTGCAGACTTGTGGGTATGACACATGACAGTCACCTTCCCTCTCTCCTTCAGTTTTGCCACTTGTAAAATTGGCAATATCAGGTATGTGTTTAATAATGCGCTCGAACACCTCAGGTTGAACATACTTCTACAAGAGCTGCTAGAGACAGGAAATATTTTAGACCGTTTTCCTAACCTGTTTCTCAAGAAGCATTCAGTGTGCTTTTCGAAAAATACACTGTGTCACACTGGCACCAAGAAAAAACACACAACTCTTTCAAGGGAGATATGTGTTCATAATTTGTTGGCCTTGTAGAGCCTGGCTGTTGCTTTTTTGTTCTGAAGGCACCTTTGTTTTGAAAATGCATCTAAAATGCCTACAGACTGAAGCAATTTTTGCTAATCGTTTTGAGCAAAGCTACATTTCTGCAAGGCTAGATGTTTATCAGACAGTTTAACAACTCCTCAGACAGTGGCTGCAAATAGGAGGTTGTCATAGAGACTGTAACATAGCGAACCGGTCTCCATGTACTTCGTCATGGTAATTTTGACAAAGTAATCTACTAACAGTGGCTCCGCTCTGGTCTTCTGCCTCTCTTGGTTGGCCATTTTTGGCACTAAAGCTCATATTCAGCTGGTATATTTCTACCCAGAGCTTTTGAGACTGGTGTTTCCAGTAGCTGTGTGTGCATGAAGGACTTGAGCAAGTCTGTAGAACACACTGTGCAGAGGGATTTACTTAATTTTGACCATGTTAGCACGTGCCCCTTTCTCGAAGGTAAAAAGCTGTATGGTGCTTATCTACAGGGTTGAGTTTTTATTTAATTTAAAGATGGACACATTCATATGCATTTACTTAATGTTCATTAGAATTTACCATGTGCCCTGCAGTATTTGTCTGAATGTAACTGGCAGTAGCACTAAATGTGAGAATTTTACATGAAAGGCTGATTCTAACAAAGTTGTCGGTAGGATTTCCGTTTGGAAGGATTTTTTTCCACTTTTGAGGATGTTTTCCCCCTTGAGCACCAAATAGGGTTAGTTCAGTTGAAAATCCAAGAAAATTTAATAGAAAGAAACATCTTTGCAGGGCAGGCACAGCCTGACAGTTCTCATCTTTGTCTTCCATGGATATACTTGACAACTCGGTTACAAACTTAAGTTTAGGACCTTGTCTCGTTATTTATTACATGATAGCTTTGTGTCACCAAACATGGTGTTTTCTCTGGATAATTTGGATTAATTTACGTTGTTTCTCCTGTGATACTGAAATGATTCTCTACGTGGTTTTTAGGGGTTGTTACTGAATTTTTGGGGGCTGTTACTGAAATTTCCAGATAAGGGTCCACTAGGCTTTATGCTAGAGAGCACAGTTGGATTTTTTAATGAAGTTTCATTCAGAAATCAGACGTTAAAATTGCAGGCTCATTGGAAAGAGGAGTGACAGCAGTTTGTAGAACACATGGGGCACGATACTTGAGAAATACTGCAATCCTCACACCCATGTCATGTATTTTGGTGGAGGAAAAACAAAGACCAACTTGTGTTTCTTTATTATTTCTTATATTTGAAGACTAGAACACGTGTTTGGTGCCTCACAATGAAGCAAAAGCACAGTCTGGGTTTAAAAGCTTTTGGTTTGTTTCTCACGGTGCCCGCAGTGGGTGGTTGCATGCTGAGCAGCAGTCCTGACCTGAGGAAACTCTGGGTCCAGATGTTTGCTCCCAGCTCTCCCATAGCTCTCCAGCTTGGAGGTGGAGGCTCGTTAAAAATGGTACTTCCAAAATGTGTCTGCAGCTGCGTGCTTCAAGGAGGTGAAGGAGGAGAGATGAAAGGATGATTCTGAAGAGGCTACTTTTCATGAGAAATGAACAGCTTAATTGGTGTGCTTCTCTATCAGTTTCTAAATTGTTACAACCCTTTGTTGCTTCTCACTTTTCTACCTTTTGCCCATGGATGCCAGAATGTCTGTAACGTCTTTAGAGTGGGGGTTTTGAGCAAGAAGAAAAGGCGTTTGGCCCTAATAAGAACTCGGTGACAAAAGAAAAGAAAATCACCACAAATTAGAGTGTTTGTGTCTGTATAAGACAGGAACGATAATTAATGTTCGGATCGTTTGATGGTGCATAAAAGAACTTGTACCTGAGAAGTGGTGGCAAAATGTAAATTATAGTGATTAACTTTTGCAGCGGAGCTTCTGGCTGGGTTCTATTTTTCTTCTCCACCCCCATTCCCAAAGTCCTTCCTGATGATTGTGCAGATTTCTCATAACTTCCTAGGAGGATTGCATTATGTAGGCCAGTAATTATACAGAATCATTATAGCTGAATGTCATTAAATGAAGCCATATGCGCTGATGGCCTGAATTCCCGAAGAAAAAAAAATGAAATCAAACTTTCATTTCCACCTAAACTATATGGTTTCTTATGGTCCTCTGATCAAAACTAAAGGGAAAGTCATGGCTATTTCTAATCAAGTATCTTTCTCATTACTCCTAATAATTTTAGGATAATTAAAATATTATTTACTGATTGCAGAATACTTTTATGAATGGCTCATCTGCAGTTTTTGCAGATTGTCATGTAATAGTTGATTTTTTCCTTTGTTCCCTGATGTTGCAGTAATTGAGGTGAGATGTAGGGGGTGGCCAACAGCAGCTATCTCTGTGTCCGGAGAAGGAGAACTGGATTTCTTCCAAGTATAATCAAGCTGGTCCAGGAGTCTGTTACATCCACATGCTTCCTGTTGTCCAGTACTCTTCCCATCACCACCACAGTGCTTCAGCCCTGATTTAATTCTTCTAGAGTTTATCCAAAGCCTTTTGCTCTCCAAACACACTCTCAGTTAACAAGTGTGTCTCTTTTTCTGTCACCTGTTGGCCTGCCTGTGTAGGGCGAAAAGCTTCGGTCACATCCACAGTTCTGGGCATAGTTCCTGAAGCAGAATAGCCTCCCAAAATACTACACTCTAAACCACAGCTCAGAATACGCAATATGCTTTAAAGAAAAGTGTGTTTAGAACTGTATGCTAGTTTTCATGCTTACTTGCCAGGCTGCTCTTGGCATCTATTATAGGATACATATTATAATAAATATTAAAGTAATAATATTTAAAATACACCCTGTGTGTATTCAGTATGATATTTAATAAAATATTATAATTATTTCATTACATATGCACATGCATTTTCTATATAAGTTTTATGCAGAGCATACCAAACAGCACTTTTTACCCTCTTTGCCTAGTAATATTAAGGATCAACACCACCAGCCTGTCTGGAGTTGTTTTGATCAATAAATGTTTTCTCACAGCTAGCACTTTCTGGAGAACTACTTGATGGATTAAAGAGTTCGGAAACATGATCAGAACTTCCCTTTGCCTTCACTGAAGCAAAAGACTCCACCGCTTCTTGAGTGTATTTAGAATGGGGTAAAAATGAAAAAGAAAATAGCCCTGTGCCTTTCGTTTAGAAGACGTGCATCTTCCACAGACCTCGGCGGTTTCATTTTGTGGTGGTGATGCCTCACAGATGGGCTGGTTTACTCAGCATGTGTAGGAGTTTTCTTTCAGTGTTGAGAAAGGAGAGAGAAGAAGGAACGAAGAGAAATTTACTGCCTCTCCCCCTAGCTCTTACTTTTCTCTGCTCTCTTGCCGTAAGTTATGTTTGCTTATATCCATTGCAGGTACAAAGGTTGTGATGTGCAGCACCAGGTATACGGGCATGATGGGCAGAAAAATCTTTTCCCATATTCTCCTAATATCCCGTCTTCCGTATAGGCCTTTCAAATGTACAGGGAAAGGGAAGGAAAAGAAATAACTCTGTAATGCAAAATCTGCATTACTGTCACTTGACTTGCATCCGTATGGGGAGATGCATCTCGCCCCTGATGCGAGGGACTTCACAGCCATCCCCGTGTACGTTCGATGGAAGCCTGGGCTGCGGCACCTTCTTGAGGTAGGAAGGCTCCTCAGGAAATCCCCAGATCTGAACTGCTGGCACTCCTGGTGCTTGAGCCATCTAAAAACGAAACATAGTTGAAGGGGATTTTTCAGACTCTCTCTGTTGACAGTGGAGAACATTAGTTCTCCCTGTGTATCTGAGACACCTAATTTAAGATGAGGAGAATCACCTCCTAAGGATATTTCTTCATTGACTACAGCAGGAGCCAGACAAGTGGCACAGATTAGATAACTGGCTTCTGTAAGACTAAATGTACATGAGGTTATTTTCCCAGGTGGCAACATAAATTTAACCTTAAATTCTTTTTTCTGTTCCATTAAGAAATGCATTGTTTTATCAGGATTAAGAAGAGTGGTGAAGAATTTTCTGTTGAGCTAAGGAAGAAAAGATTATTCAGTGACTTTATTCAGCCTTGCAGCTAATTTTTATTTCTCAGTCAGAAGCTGTTCTTTACCATCTGTTTCAAATTCACTCCTTGCAGTGTTGGATACAGAGATGAAAATGTGGCTAAGTTGTTTAGAGAGCTGACAGAAAACTAGTCTCCAAATATATAATGATATTTCAGCACTAAGGCTGTATACAAAGTTTTCCTGTAACTGTATGCAGAACTGCCTGACCTTTTAAGGCTGTTCCGGTCAATATTGTCTTAAGCCCTAGTGCTCCCAATATGATGCAAGTTGCATCGGATTGAAATGTCAACATAACTTAGGAGTAGCTCCATCGAAAACCACCCTCCGTCTTTCAACAATAAGCTGCAGTTGGTCATCCCAACTCTTCAAATTGTGATGTCAGAGACCTGCTCAAAAGTCTCTTTTAGCAAATGGTGACTGCTTTTCAGGCAAAATCCAGACAGCTCTTTCAAAAGATGTGTGAGGTTCTTCTTTGGTTTGTTGTAGGGTCTTAGAAATGTTGTCTAAATTCCTTCAAAACATGTTTTTGTCCACAGCCAGGAATTCCATCAAGAAACTGGATTTGAAACGATCTGATGTATTACTTCCAAACTGCTTAATGACTCTGAACTCTAGATTTCCCATTTGTTGCAGGCAAATGAAGGTGGTGATCTATTTCATCCTCATTACTACGTGAGATGCTTTTAGTGAAACATTGGTGGAAGCCCCTCAAGAAGAGCCACTGGTTTTGCTACTCTACCCACTGTTGATAAGAGTGTAACATCTTGTGCCCAGAGTTCTCCTGTAAAAATAGTTAAACATATGTACACGCTTGAGGCAAATTTTGTCTGTATTATGTTTTTCTCCTAGTACCATGAGCTCACGACACTCTGCCAGCCCAGTTGTTTTCACCAGTGCCAGAAGCTCACCCAAAGAAGAGCTTCATTCTGCTACTTCTCCCCAGCTCGCACCTTCTTTCTCCTCCTCCTCTTCGTCCTCATCTGGTCCTAGGACTTTCTACCCTCGCCAGGGTGCTACTAGCAAGTATCTGATAGGATGGAAAAAGCCAGAAGGGACAATAAACTCAGTGGGGTTTATGGATTCAAGAAAGTAAGACTTGTTTTTTGGTTCTCTTGTTTGGTTATTTGCTTTAATTGTAAAGAAGGATGGAGATCGGCAGCACCGCTCTGTATAGAAGAGCTCAAGACTATTTAATAGAATGCTTAGTCTTCTGTAGAACTTAATCTCTAATCTAGAGTTCTGCAGTTAGGCTTAAATATTTCATAGTTAATCTCATTCCCTGTTAACTTGTAAAAGATTTTTTTTAAACATTTCTAGAGAGCTGTATGAATTTTAGTCCTATTAAAGCTTATCTTCCCTTGGGACTTCTTAAAGGTGACTCAAAATGCTATTGGAGCAAATATTAAAAATCCTCTTAACGCTGAGCCTGAGTTTTCCTTAAGCCTCTCATCCATGTAGTAGTTCTGTGCACGCTGTGCCTTAGCTCTAGGACACTCCGTGTTGCCTGGTTAAGATTGCGGCCAGTACCCAGCCTAACGGGCTTAAAGCAAGCCAAGCTCTTCCTGTGTTACAATACACAACCGTCTCTTTTGGAAGAGAAATTGAGAAACCACTTACGAGTGGAAATACCATTCCTTTAAGTCTGGTATGACTTGGAGAGCATGTGGTTCAGAAAGCCCATTTCGAAGTAATTTATTCAACCCTTCTTGGCTTTTATTGGGTCAAGCACAGTATCCCTAGATGATAGCAATAACTGGCTGTCAAAAAGAGATGGTGAAATTTTGCGATAACTGCATTATAAAAGACAGTTAAAAGATTAAAGAAACTTAGCGATTTTCTGGTTTGGGGCTCATCGATGACAAATTTTTCAGTTTTGTACAGAATACACTTTATTTTAATAGATTCAGTCCCTTATTGGGAAAATGTATTACGATAACCATGAAGTATGTTGCTAGTTGATGTTTTTGAATAAGTTTATTGCTTTGACAGGTATTCATTAAGATGAGGCTGTGCTGCATTAGCAAAACTCCTTCCTTCCTCCACACCCCCTACCTAGGTTTTTTTCTTTGAATATCTTGAAGGTGCTATAATTCTTGTTTCATTCATGCCTCCTGCCCCCAGGGCTTTGAGACCTGAATGTGTCTGTTCCGTTTCATTTAAGACGTCACCAGAGTGATGGCAATGAAATGGCCCACCCTCGGCTGCGTGCTTCAGCAAGAGATCTACGGGCATCACCAAAACGAGCATCCAAGTCCACCGTTGAAGAAGATCTGAAGAAATTGATAGATCTTGATAGCCCAACACCCGAGTCCCAGAAGAATTTTAAGGTACGTTAAAGAGAGAATCTGTCATCTGGCTCTCTCTTGTCACAGTTAAGTGAAATCCGAGAATACCTGAGCAGCAACGTCCAGGTCTTCTTCAGATCCAAGTCATCGTTCTGCTCTTACAAAATAGAGATGTGTGAAGTTTACAGTTTCTTAGAATTTGGTGATTGAGTTCATTGCTTGTCTAGACATAGCAACAAGTAGAAGCAAACACTTCCCAATTTGGGAAATGGTGAAGGCTGTGAAGCTCGAAGATTTCTGTGCAGAAAATGCTGAGTGCTTTCAGAGCAAAGCTGAAGTGGGCATTCATACAGAGGCTGGACTTCCCATGGGACTCAAGAGTTTCTCAGATAGGATCTTTTATGTTCTTACCCGTAACAGGAAAATAAATACAATGCAAGGCATTCCCTTGATTTTCATCATGGACAGAAAGTCACCAGTTTGTCACGGACTTACCTACGAGAGAAATCTGTTTGAGGAACAATTTCATTATGCAGTCACTGCAATATTATCACAGTTTTGTGTCCAAATTTAAAGGAATTGGTGTGCCAAATTGCAAAGAACATTTAGGACCGCTAGCTCGTGGGAAATCCCGTAGTGTCGTCCTGTGCATTTGAATTGTTCATCTCTAATTGCATCACTAGACAGTGACTTGTTGGCAGTATTGAAACGGCTCGCAAAAAGCACACTTTTCTGCCTCTCTAGTCCTGTTACTGCACAGAGATCAAGAATGCTCCCTAAACTTAGGCAAATATTTATACAGAATAAATAGAAATGTTTGTTTCCTCATGTTTCAAAATGTATATAACACAAAAGTGCATATTTTAATATTAAAAACCCCTCATTTTGAAGAGAACATCTTGATCTCTACAGTCTCCATGTACAGTCAGTGCTTAAAGCTCCTGGAGCCCACATGGTTTCCACAGCAACCACACAGAAGAGAGAGCTGCAGCTTCTTTTTTTGCTTGTAAAAAAGCCAAAGTGGCTTACTGAAACTTGTAAGTGCTAGGTTCTGTACACAGATTATTTCAGGTCTTACCTTTGAGGCCAGAGAGGAAAAAAACACAAAACCTGGCCAATAGCAAAGTATTTTTTCCTTTACATTTGTGGTAGGACTGAGGGGAATGGGAAACAGGTGATGTGAGCATCTTCTGCTGGTTCTTTTGAGCAAGGGGGTTATTTTCATTCCAAGAAATTCTGTTCTGTTTAAGGAGGTGACCTGAAGACCATGAGAAGTGTGTATATTCCCAAGTTGGTTGGTGCATTCCCAAGTTGTCTTGTGCATCTTTTCATTATGTTCCCTGCCTTCCTCATCTCCTTACCTAGAGCTTCTGCAGTGTGTCTTCTCAGACAAATCACCCTTCTTGTTCTCTTCCCTCTGCTCTGTTACCAGGACATAATTCCTGCTCACATTACCTCTCTTCCAGCTTCATCAGATGTTTATATTTGTGCAGCCTTTTAATCTCAATGTCTGATTTTACCTGGTGGTTCCAGCCTTAGTTCTCTAACACTAGGTGAACTATACCACCCTGGAGCTCTTTCTTGTCTTTTGTCACTTCAGGACAAGTACTGGGAGACGTCACTGGATCATAACATGAACCTGCTGATAGAGCTTTCAAATTTCAGGATAAAAAAGCAGCTCAATCCATAATGTAACACAGTGACAACTGTGTGCCAGATGTTGTCGTTTACTCCGCAGTGTTACTTGGACGTGCAGTGTTCATACTGGGTGGGCATGTCCTGAGGGAGGCAGCACAGAAGCGAGAGTTTGATGTACTGGAAAGCTGGTGTGGGATGTGACTTCTCTTTCCTTCCCTGTCTTTTGATGATAGCAGGTTTCCTGAAGTTTCTGATCCTTACTCATAGAACTGAAATGTGCAGCAATCTTTTATAATTTCAAAATCTGTGATGTTTTGGGGGAAAATAAAAAAAATTGGTTGATTGCCTTCCACTGCACAGTACAAATAGTCTCTCTTCCATGCTCTTCTCCCACCTTGTAGTGTGGGATTTTGATCGCTAGACTAGAGTACCATTTCTTTGAACATTTTTTTCCTCTTTCTGAGAAGAGAGAATTATTTTCATGTGCAAATGAGCAACTCTTTATAATGTTCAATCACTCTTTCTGGAAATCAAATTATCCCCTTTTTTGTTTACACTTGCTCACAGAGCAAATGAGAGTGGTGAGGTGTTCCTTTCTGTTTGCCATTTCTCCATGAAAGCCTTTGGAACCCAACTGCAGCCAGACTGTCAGTTCTCTTGCAGGGAGTTCCAACTTAACCAGACAGTCAAGTTGTTACAGGTTTAGTGAAAACCAGTGTCTCTGCTGATGGGACTGGTAACGCACTCTCTGATAGCAGCTCGCTGTCCCTGGCCGGAGAGTCTGTAACTCCAGACTTAACTCAACCACGGCGTTGCTTATCTCCTCTGTGGTGCACGGAGGAAGCTGGGATGATTGTGGCAGAGGACACAAGTTCTGTTACTCATGGGACTATTTACTTAATTTTGATTCAAATCCTTCTGAAGAATCCAAGCTGTGGTGGGCGTTCCCAGTTGTTCAGTAATATGAGACTTTTAATTAGCTGGCATTTGCCGGTGCTCTGCCTGCAGGAAGGCAGCCTCCCCCGGGCAGGAGGGAGAGCTCTGGTTTATGCAGCGCGCAGTCTGTTTCTATGGAACATTATCTCTGCTACACGTCAGCTGCCTGAGATTTCCACTTCAGGGGAAGTTTGAAGAGTATTTAAAAAGTTAATGTGTGTGACATAGACTAAAAAGACCTGTGTATGTTACCTAGTTCTAATCTCCTTCAAAGCAGATTCCTTTAGTTCTTTTTCTTACCCACTCTGAAGAAATCCTGTTTTAACTCTTGCTTTCTTACCTTTCTTTAAAGTTTTAGAGAAACATGAACTTTAAAAGTTTCTTTATTGATTTTTTTTCTTCTCATTTCTTTGTATTTGTTTTTATGAATGTATAGTCACACACTCTGTCCTGTCAGTCTCCCTTTCCCAGCACTCCTACCACAAGGCGTGCCTTGCAAAGGACTTTGTCAGATGAGAGTATTTACAGTGGTCAAAGGGACCACTTCTTCACCTCACGGGCCTCGCTCTTGGACCAAGCCATGCCAAATGATGTCCTATTCACCAGCACGTATCCTTCTCTCCCAAAGTCGTTGCCATTACGGAGACCATCATACACTTTGGGAATGAAATCACTACATGGTAAGTGTATTTCCTTTTTTTTTTTTTTTTAACTTCCAAAGGACTCTTTTGTGAATCACGTTATGGGAAAATGTTTGGTACAGAAATCAGTGCTTCCGTCTTGATTTTACTAAAATGAGGAGAATCAAATCACGTACTTGAAAAGATAAAATAGGACAGGAATAAGGTTTTTTTCTGCACAGTGGTTAACAGACTGCATCACCTTGTGGAGGGAGCACAAAATTTGCCTCATTGGATGTAAGTTTTTACCATTTATTCCAGGAGTCACCTGGATCAGTTGAGCTAATAGAGAGAGCACGTATGCCTGGTTATCCACCAGTGCCAACTTCAGGTGTCAGTTCCTTTAGTGTAGGATTATGGAAACAAAATACCTTTAGGAAAATAATGCTATAAAAGTAGATAAATACTAGTGGACATTTGGCTGTACAACTACACCAAATACAACTTTTAATGCACTGGTTTTAAATTTGCTTCCTTGCCCTATTCATTGTACAGGATTTGAGTTACTTATTTTAGTCACACAGCAGCAGCTAATGAGAAGTTATTTGGCAAACTGCTGTGAGGAAGACACTTGCCTTTCCCCCATTAGTTCCCTGCAACTTCTCGGCAGGATTATCTGATGGGTTTTGTGTTGCTGCATGTGAATGTCTCAGTTGGTGAGAAAGGGAATTTTCACAGGTTCTCCCTGTACCTCACAGCTGAATGTGTGTTCCAGAAATAGAGCTAGATCTCTCAGTGCGGGATTCTGCAGTGTTGTGTTCAGAAGTACTGTCTGCTCCAATTTATTCATGTTTTAGTATGTTTTAGGAGGAAAACGCACAGCTATCAATAGATTGAACTCACTATAGTGGGCCCTGAGCACAGTCTGCATTTAGCTACACAGGACACATTTGACAGCGAAGGCTGCTGAAGGCATCTATTTTAAATTCTTTTCATCTGCCTGTGATCACCAGGCATCAGTTTTCAGTGTTGAATCTGACATTTTCGTGAGCTGTTGTTTCTGTGTAACATGTTTCTTGCGTAAGAATTAGGAAACCGAGCTCTCTTCACTTCTACTTTTCACGTGCGCTAAAATAACTTTGCAGGCTTTGTTACCCTTGTAACTGGCTTGTGGATTTGGCTTCTGACGGCTTGGGGTCAGGAGACTAATGATGCCATCGGAGTAGAAGTGGAAAGCAGCACTTTGGTCTCTTTTTGTTCAAATGGCCATATTTTGCAAAAGAAAACCACAAAAACCCCTCTTTCACTGTCACGTTCTCTTCCACACCAAACTGATCACTCCTGCTAGCACATAAACCTTCTACCTGTCAACAAAACAAGACTTTTCCATTTTCTATAAAATGTAGGGCTTGCATGAGAAAAGACCAGCTATTTGACTGGCACACAAATTGTCTCCCCCTCTACACTTGCCTTTGCTGAGAGAAGGATTAAGTAGAGCTGGATGTTTAATACCACAAGTATTTGTTGGCTTCTAGTTATTCAGAATTCTTTTAATTCAAAGATCTTACTTAGCAACAAAGAACAGCCATTGCCGAGCACCTTCATTTGTTTTGAAGATGAAATGAGCTAAAAATACTCTTATTTGCTCACTTGTCTTAATCAACAGTCCAACTCACCCTTTTAAAACAGGTAATTTTTCAAATGGTGAGTTTTTTCTTCTAATTCTGTGTATCTTGTCACTAATTTTAACTGCTTTCATGTTAAGAACTTCCCAAATAAGTGCCCCCTTCTGAGGAGGTAATACAAGAATCCTCAGCGTTGATACTGAGCTGAACTTAGGTTTATAAAAAGTAGACACACACAGAGAACAAAAAAATCAACATTTTTGAGCAGAGAAGTGAATGCAGTGTAGCTTTTCTGGTCATTGTTTCCTAGACAGCAGTAATTTCAGTTATTGAAGTTATATAGTTAGTAGAGTATTAACAAAAAATAAAAAGGGGGCAAAAATAAGCAACGCAGCTAGTGGCATTTGTCTTTCAATGGGCGGCTCGTGACCTGCCCACCAACACTGCCTTTCTCTTCTCTCTGCCTCACATAGATTCTTGACTACACCCTCCTCCACAGCTTCGTCCCAGGGGCCCAGTCCACCTTCTCACCTTGACATCTCTGGTGCTTCTAATATCACCTCAAAACTTTCTTTATGCCCTGACAGAGGGCATGAGGAAGCAAGTTGTTGCTGCTTCTGAGCTTACACGTATGCTGAGTGAACGCACATTTTTTTTTATTGTCCAGCCAGTAAACTGAAATAAAGTAGGTAATGGTTGGCTCACAGTTTGATCTTCCCCTAATTAGTGGCAATAATTCCAGTGTTTCACTTTGCTAGGCACCAGTTTGCACAAAAATTACAGGAACTTTATATCCTATTTTAAATCTTGCCAATGTTTTTTTTCTGTAGCAGGCCATGTACCAACTTAGGGGTTGGTGCGGGTGTTTTTCTGTAAAGATCAGGAGGTTTCACTAAACTGCTCAGAGATGTGCAGTGCTTTGGAAGTCATTTTAAGGGTTGTCTCATTCTGATTCACCTTAGTAGGCCTAAATGTACTCCCATTGTTTTCCGAGATTGTAAAGAGAGGAGGAAACCCCCCAGTTTTGTATTTTCACAGGAGCAAATAGGTGTTAGGGAGAGTAGTAAGCTGCAGAGCCTTCCAAAGCATCCTCGGCTTGTGCAGAGGCAAGAATCGCTGGGTAGAAGAGTACTGACACCAGCCCCAGTGCTGGGAGGAGGCAGAGACTGGCTTTCAGAGTGCTAAACTGCAGAGATTCAGGCAGGTTAGAAAGTTGCTGAATGTCCTGGTGAGAAGCTCAATGTCTCAGAAAAGTGTCTTGTAACACGCTCTGTTTCGTCAACTGCAGCTGATCAAACATTCTGCTAGTACCGGTTCCAAAAGTGCTATTCCAGAAAAACTAAAAATAGGGACACATTAGAATTAAGAAAAAGATTTTGGTGGGTTTTTTTATGGAGCTTATAATTTGTTTTGCTTTACTCTAGGAGAGTTTTCTGCCTCAGACAGCTCCCTCACAGATATCCAGGAGCAAAGACGGCAGCCCATGCCAGACCCTGGTCTTATGCCATTGCCTGACTCCGCCTCTGATCTGGACTGGTCAAACTTGGTGGATGCTGCCAAAGCCTTTGAAGGTAAGTTTTCAGAATGTAATACTTAGAAAGCTGGTGTCTGTGCATGCTTCATTTAGAAGTGGGTTGTGTTGGGTTTTTTTAATCTTGACTCTTCTGTTGTTACTGTTTCTACTTAGTTTGAAGCTTAAGCTCATTTAAAATAGCAAGTTGAGTCCTGACAGCCCAAACGTTTCTATGTAATGCTCAGACACTGTTTCTTCATACTGGAATCCCTCTGTGCTACAGTTTGTCCAAATCTCTGTGAAACTGGCTACTTTACATTTCATGTAGAGCAGTTGCAGACATCACAGCCTGCATGGAAAAGGCATCTGGCACAAAAGTGCAAAATTAAAGTCAAATAGCAGGGGGAAACCATGTGAGCACACTAACGATTGCTTGATTGGTGCACGAGCAAGAAGCTTCTGTAGTGCAGCTGAACTGCGCTGCCAGGGCAGTCTGAGAAATATCCCCGTGTTTGTATATACTTTTCCATTGTGGTTCTTCCTTTAGCATCCTCTGAACACACAGACCTGCACATAAGTGTTGTTTCATTCTGTCGCGCTTTCCATCTCCTTGACATACAGTAAACTGAAGAGAACTGTAAGCTGTATTTGAATTTAAAATTAAAGCCACTTCAGCCCCAAGGGAGTTTACCTTACAGTTACTATAATCAGATGGGAAAGTTTTCTACGTGTGTTAAAGAGAAGTGCCTTTTCCTAATCTCCATGTAAATGCTGTCCCACCTTCATGAAAATTTTTTTGCTGATCCTGAATCTTTTAAACGTAATTCTGCATGGTTGGAGAAGGCTGTGAAGTATCTTGCTTTCCTGGCCGTTCCCTGGTCGCAGCTGTACACATCATTACGAAGCTGCATGCCTAAGCTGGTGTTGAAGATGTACGTGTGTGCTCTGCTCTGTTGTCCTGGGAGTTGTAGGATTGGCGCATCTCCTATTTCTGCTGTGCACTCTTGGGAAGGAGTATTCCAAGTAAGCCGTAGTCCTCAAGAGAAGACGGACTCAGAGTGATGTGTTTTTTTCACCACTACATAGGGATGAAGCCCAGGTTTTTATGCATTTTATTGTGGTTGGCAATGAAAAGCTGAGTCTCTCACTTCTGTGGGCCCCACACTCACTTGTGCTTTTCTTGAGAAGTGTGAACAAGGTCAGTGTGGTGAAGAAACAAACTGACAGCTCAGACGAAGCAAAGCTGGGCTAATGTGTTGGCCGGCACTTTCGTTTCACCGCTGTAAAAATACGTTCAGATTTGACTTGGAGAGGGAACAGCTGTCTGATGTCAATATAATCCTGGTGTCTAGTCTCTGCCAGGGGCTACTAGGGATTGACAAGTACAAAGCAGCCTAAATTCTGATTTGTGATCCTGGACACCTCTGCATCATTGGTTGGTGTTTTCAGCACAAGCCCCTGAAGTTACAAATCTGCAACTAGCTGAAACAAAAGCTGCCTGGATCCCAGAGCCTTCAGTATTTTCATTGAAAGGAAAAAAAGAGAGGAGCAGGAAAAAAATCCATCAAATCCCAAGGCACGTTAATGTTAGCCTTGTTGGAAGCACAGAACAAAAATTGGCCAAGCAGAAAAAGACAATACTGTTCTATTTCCAGTGAGAGACCAGCAGCTGCTGAGGGAGAGATATGTTAATTTATTAAACTGAAAAATGTTTACATTACTGTTTGTGCTAGGAAACTCCAGAGGTAGGGGCACTCGGTAGTTTACAGTCACACCACATGTGATAGTGATTTAGAGATGTGTTAAACCGTATGAGCAGTTATGGGACAAAAAGGTACAGACACAAGGCAGGAAAGAGGTTTCACATTTCAATCTGAAAGCGTTTTCTAAGGCATAAGGAAAAAATTTCGGGTTCGGAAAAATTATGTTGGTCGTTTTACTTTCCACATGTAAATTGTACACAGTGAGCTTTTCTTTCTTCAAGGTAAAGGGATCCTTTATGGTGTGAAGGAAGCTAAATACAGTTACTGACTCTTTTGGGTAGTGTCATGCAGTTGTACCCACAAGTTCAGCACAGCGCTTGTTGTTCCAGCTTGGCTTCTTGCCTCTCTTGGAACTGGGCTTGGGTGGACTCTGCAAGCACCATCAGAGTATCTCTGCTTGGCACTCTCTAGCATCTCCTTCTGGGAGAGGGTGAAGCAAGAGCCGTGTGAGCGCGTGGCGCTGTGCCGGAGCTAGTACTAGTGCAGCGGGGTGAGCACTTGCAAGGCCGGTTTGCTTCTGGATATTGGTATGTCATATCATCACCTTGCCTTGCTCAAGACAGACTTCTTAGATTGCTTTGTGATCCTGCAGCGTAGCTGTTGCGCTCTGCCAGCAAATAATCATTACTGCTGCCATAGGTTTTCCCTGTATGTTTGCCTTCTCAGTTCAGCGAGCTTCATTCTTTGCTGCTGCTGATGAAAATCACAGACCGGTGAGCGCTGCCTCCAGTAGTGATCAGGCTGAGGACCAGCTTACTGCACAGCTAAAGCCTTATACAGGGTAAGTAAATAATATGCAGGCTTCCTCAGCTACAAACCGAGGAAAAGAGCAGGAACGTCTCTTTGGAAGCCATCTCCAAGCTTCCCAGAAGAATTCTTCACAAGTTCTTATGAAGACGGTGGCGAGAAGTGGAAGCAGAAGAATCGTTGAGTTCTGTTCAGCTTTTTTGAAGGTTCTTTCTTGTCCAAAATGTTCAGGAATGTCTCCAAAGCAATGGTAATTCAAGGTACATACAATGAGTAGAAGTCAAGTGATGTAATGGCCCCAGTTAATCGTGAGTTAAATTCGTTATGTTGATTAAAGTGCTGCGTGTGTTTCGTGTGCTCTTTGTTAGGTTCTTTTTGCTTCTTTTGTGAATTCCTAGTGTACCCGAATGCAGACCTACAAAAAGCCACTTAGTGCAAGCAAGACTGTTAGCTACCCTATGTGAAGACAGTAAATCCTGTCAATACCTATTCTTGTGTCCTGCTTTCAACAGTAAAGAATCTCCACCAACTCTCGCCTCTAAAGTGGACCAACTGGAAGGTTTGCTGAAGATGCTGCAAGAGGATTTAAGGAAGGTAAACATTTCATCTATGGAAAATCTCTAAGACATGTATTTAGTGCTGATAGGTGATGCTAGTAACTCTGTAATCCTGCTTTGCCATGTCTGAGCCTGTGACAGTCTCAGCCTTGTATGAGAAAAAGACATTTCTTGGCTACTTTTCTCAGGCCATCCTTCTAATTATGCCAGGCTAGGGTGGAGTGTCTAAATCTGCAGGCATCTGATTCTCCTGCTTAAATTAGGAGTGTGATTCAGAGTACCTCCACTCCTAATTCAGGTGACGCTGCAAAAGTATCGAAGGTAAACAAAAGGCTCTAAGTTAGGCCCTGTAAATACGTCCTGCTGATGTTGAAAAGTTGATAGTATTGCCTAAACTCATCTGTATGGTGGAAACTTCCTGCCCACTTCGTGCAAGAAGGCTCTGCTGTGGTCAGATGACAAATCTCTTAGCCAGGGAAGTACTTGCAGGGATGTTTCCTTTCCCCTATTCACGTAACCATCAGCAGTTGTACGTCCATGCTGTACACGGAGAAGGGCATGCCCCATTTTATTTCACCACTTGAAATTCTTATTAAAATCTTTATAAACAATGAGACTCATGCTCTCCTAAGAGGGTCTTGCCTCTCTATACGGGTAGGAAGCACGACATAAAATTTCCACTAAGACCTGTATTTTTCCTCATGCCTAAGGAAAAAGAGGACAAGGCCAGTCTTCAGGCTGAAGTGCAACACTTACGGGAAGACAACTTGAGGTTACAGGAGGAATCCCAGAACGCAACCGAGAAACTGAAGAAATTCACCGAATGGGTTTTCAACACAATTGATATGAACTGAGAACAGTGTACGGGGAAGGAAACTATCTGTTATGAATATTATTCCTGGGACTTAAGCTTTAATGCCACCTTAATCATGACATGTGAAAGTATAGTCAGAGCACTTCCCTGTCCTTCATCCTCCAATAACCCTTTTTTGCATCTCTGCGTGCACTCGGAGCAATTGCAGATCAACAATCAATGTCTGCCTTTTGTAGAAAAAAAAAACAAAGTAAATAATTTTAAAAAGGTAAAATAAAAGTTTAACTGCTAAAATGTGAATGTCTATTTTTTGCACATTGTCTCTTTATCTGTTATGTACAAAATGATTTGGAGGCGGGATCAGGCTTGCTGTTCCACCTGCCTTTGTTTCCATTAACTCCTTTCTCTCTGTTTCAGGTAATCTGCTTTTCCTTGCAGCTTTGGCAAATATTATGACATCTAGAAAATTAGAAAGAAATGTTTATTTTACTGCTCTTCTTACATTGTTTTCTGAAGTATGCCACAGACAAGGGGATGTAATGCAGTGTTTTAGGTGTCCTTAGCAACTTGTGCTTGATTGCTAGTGCTACCTTCCCATACGTTACAGAGAACGCGTGCCCATAGCGTATGGTCCAGTACAGCCAGCATCGTTGGAGATGGGACGAGAGGCCTGAGGCCTGTTATCACATGTCTAGTGCATTAGCATTTCTGACGGCCTTTGTTTGTCGTGGAAACCACGGCTGTGAGTAACTTTAGGAAGAGCAAAACGAGGCGTGCTGCAGTTCGTGCTGTATCAGGCAGGCTGAGAGATACTGAGTGTTGTCGCTTAAGTATCGTCCCCTTCCCTTCCAGGGGAATCTGTTACTTGCATATGTGCAGAAGACCTAGGCTGAAGTTGTAAAGAGATTTAAGATTTCTTCCCCCTGAAATGTTTCCATGAAAATCCACGTAAACCATCTCACGCATCTGGCCTCCCAATCCAATTCTCTGGACTTCTCAAATCACAACAGATTTGAGAACTCTTTATTTAACTTTGTGGTTTTAGTACATGAAAGGTCTTATAAATCTTTTACTGTGGTAGACGGAGGAATATGTAAAGGTGAATTTGAGAAGTATGTTTTTCAAAGTACTGGATAGGATTGGAGCTCCGAAATCCCCAGTCCCCAGTGAAGCTGTCTAGCATGAGATTTCCCAAACTGCCTCATGCCAGGAAAGTTCATTTCTTGGTCTTTGAAGGAATGGCTGACTTGCCACAACATGTTACCTCTCCAGAAAATACCATTTAGGTGTCAGAACACAACCTTTAAGCACCACAGTCTGCACAGGCATTGAACTGTGTAGCGTGCTGGGAAACCTCTTCTACTCCCTTCCAAGGATAAAGTTGCTACCTTAATAAATCTTGCCTTGCATAAAGGGCAGCATATTTGGGGGGTTAATTTCAAGAGCATCCACTCCCTCCCCTTTACCACGTTCTCAGAGACAGATGAAAATCATCAGGCATAGTCTTGTCACAGAAACTTCCAGGCTCTTTTCAGATCCTTTTTTCATGCTCTTCAATCCTGCTCCACACAAGTACACACTACACTTCAACCTCAAACTTCATTTGTGATGCTAATCCCCACGGAGTTCTTCTCTAATGTTTTGTCATGGAAATGGATCTCTTTGGAACTATTTCTGGAGTGCTTTTGTAAAGGTTTAGAATGTCTTGGGTTTTTTAATGACTTGTATGAAGGAGATTTATATAATGCCTGATATTATTTGTAAATCGGAAATATTGCTAACATCTCTGAGCATCCTGAAGTCTTGCTTTTGTTCCCTTTTATTTTTAAGTTTGGTTTTTATTTTATTTCAAAAAGTATTTTGGGACTTGGGGCAGACTATTTATTAGAGTTTTGCAACAGAGTTCTTCTTGTATGATGCCACTGAAGGCTACTTGTAAAATTCTGACAATAAAACTCATTTTAAAGGCTCTTCTAAACCATTTTCTTCTGATTTTGTTGGGTTTGTTGTTTAAGACTTTCCAGTGTCCTGTCCTTACTTTCTTATACCACTTTTCTCAGTGCTTAGCAACAGAAGAAGAGTTTTGTTCACTATCGGATTTCTACTTTTTATCCTTTTGAAGGCCATTACTTGGTACGTATACACATATTTAATCCCTTTAATTTTACTTGCATTACTGCACAAATGTATTTTCTTCCCCTGTTCACAAGGTTTTGCTACCTTTAACAGTGACTGAGCTTTACCAGGCTGATATGGTAAAGGAGAAGCAGTGATTTTTTTTTATTTTTTTTAAATGGTTTTTCAGGATTTTAGACTGACTTGGAAAAACTGAAGCCGATTTAGGTCAAAACCAAACTTGCCTGGCACATCTACCCAAGGGCATGCACAGCTTTCAGCATCCTAGAGCCAAACCTTCGAGCATGCAGCAATAGGTTTGTTTCGTTTCCTGGATCTCCTCCTTTGACTTGGGCGTCTTTTGAATCGACCTTTTTTTGACCCAGTGGATCACCATTCTGCATGGCTCAAAAATGTGGAACTAGACCAGTTTGCAGGAAAGTGTCTTCAGGTTCACTGAGTGGATCCTTAAAAGATGTGTGGAGAAAGAAAATCCATCTTTTTCTAGCAGCAACGTACCCAACCAAGAGAGCTCTCAAGCAACAGGAGCAAACCTGATTGAAAAACAGGGATTGAATCTTGGAAAGAAAACGAGATGCTGTCCTACCATTTGTAACTGGATACTGGTAATTGAGTTGAAGCAGAAAGTTTCCCGCAAGCCCACATTCATAATGAATTCACACCAGAGGCTCCCACAGACACTGCTTGGTCACCCTAGACCTGGGCAGGCATCTCCTCACAGCCTTGGGTAGTTGCTGGCCAAAGTAGCAGGCAGGTGGCTGTCGGAGGAGTGTGGGTAATGGGGGCTTTGCCTTCCTGGTTCACCTGTTTCTCCCAAGAAAGTGATGTTTTGTATTCCCTGGAAGCCAGTTTGTATTCTTTCTCTGTGTTCCAGTGCGAAGGTGCTGTTCTCCTCTGACAGTGTCTTGGATATATGGATGTGTCTTGGATATCCAGGTGTGGTTGGTACAGCAGCAGCAGGCTGCCTTCTCTCAGAATCTCCAGATTGGATGGGGGTCCACCCCAGGGTGAGGGCTGCAGCTTCTGTGGTTGGTGATACATTTATCAGGAGTGAAGGAGGCTGTGTAGGTAACAGGTTGGGGGTAAGGGGCTGCACTGAGAAGAGCTGTAAGGCACACAGTAGGTGGGAACGTGAGGGGAGAGGCTGGTGGGAAGGGGACTGGGGAGCCAGTTACAGGGTTAGGGGAGAGATGGGGGGATGAAATGCAACGCTTCCAGGTTTTACTCTAAAAATGTGGTTACTGTATGATAGCTCTGCTTCTGGAAGAAGCTGTGTTCCAGACCCCATCAGTGGGTATTGTGAGGAAGCTGTTTCCTCTGCTTTTCCTTTTGTGGGAGAGGTCCCCATGAACCAGGTACAATTCAGAAGGTTGTCTTGTCTGGTTTTAAAAGCTTTGTGTAATTGTGCTCTCATCTCCTAGTGCCTTCTTTTGGATAGATAGTTAACAAATCCTCCTTTAAAGCAGTTGGCTGTCTCCTAGCAGACACTTCAGCATGGTGTTAGTCCTGCATGTGAACAACTTGCTTTGCAGCAAGACAGCAGGGGAACAGAGGCGGTTGCTGTCTGCCAGCTGGTATGACATCCAAAATTGGATTCCCTGGAGGAGAGATGACACTGTTCCTCCTCCACCACTGCAGCTGGAGCAGAGACATGGGCTTTGCTGAGGTGGTTACTAATGGACAGGAGCTGGACAATGAAATGATGAGGCTTGTACAGATGCCTTCACCTCTTCCTTGTATTAGCCGTGGTGAGGAAGTCCTTGCCGTGCTCTTTGAGGCAATGCTGGAGGGGAAAAAAGCTCAGAAATATTTACTTCAGAGCTCTGCAGTAAGAGCCCCTTCCCCTAGCAGAGGTTTCAGCTTCAACTGGGCGTGAGGGGAGCGAGGCTGAGGAGTTTGTGTGAGTTGAATTGTCAGAGGCTGAGGTCTGGATTTGGAGCCCCATTTCCCCATGGCAGGCAGTAGCTGATGGCATTTGCGGAGGGGAGCCCCGGTGCCAGCCACTGTCCAGGAAAGGCAGACCCTCTCTTGCTTTCCACTGCAGCAGCCTAGGGAGTGTCGCACTCGGCACCCAGGGAGTCTTGCAGGGTTTTGCCCCACTCTGGTAGGCAAGGTCTCGCAGGCAATTCCCTCTCCCCAGCTTCTCCTGCACTTGCACAGACCTGTCTCCCTCCAGAAGATAACACAACCAGCTTGTGTTTCTCCCAGGTCAATTTAAAGTGGGCTGGGCTGTTCACAGCAGGGCAAAGTGCAGCCAACTTGAGTGGGAGCTTGTGTGGGGACTAAAACACGTACTGCACTGGGGCCCTCATCATGAAAACGTTTTTATCAGGGCTATTAGTAGAAATATGTAACCCCAGTTGCAGTTGCAGACTATGTTTTACCTAAATTCCTCCAAGAGCATATGACACAGGAATCTGTCCTGGAAAGCCTGTGAGCTGTTCCCTGTGTGGGGCGGGCAGCAGAGAACCCACATCTTTCCCTCTGTTGAGCGTGGCAGGAAGGAGGCCCTGCGGCTGCTTGTGCGCTGAGCTTTGTTTGCTCCACTGATCAACCTCCTGCAGCACAGTTCTGATTTTTTTCAAGAGATGTCTCACTTCTGTGCTCAGTATTGGCAATTCATGCTTTAACCAATTGGATTGAGCCCCCTGGTTTCATTGCACTCCACACTGCCTGCGAGGACGCCCCTGCTGCTGGATGGGGAGGCACAGCCCCTGGGCACAATGCTCTCAGCACCCAAAGGAGGTCTGTCAGCTTCTGGCACACAAAGAAGTCAGAGACTGAAACTAGGATGTGTTCAAGGACTAAGACTGAACGTCGTTTCCCAACCTCATGTTGTGATAGTGGCAAAAAGCCACCGATTAGTAACTGAAAAGTTAATGGTTTCGAGCCAGGAACGTGTCCTGGCGCTGGTTTAAACTTCATTCCTGTTCTTTACTCTTGCTTCCTTCCACCTGCCCCTTCACTCCTTCTTCAGTAGAGTTTGTTCATCATGGTTGGTGACTCCTGGTCCGCTGCCCCAGATGTTGGAGTTAGAGATCCTGGAAGCGAAGCTGTGACTGCCTGTGGCTGAGCTGAAGGGTGAGACACAGGGAGCAACTGAAGCGCTTCCCTGAACAAAAGAGCCTGACTACTCACTTGAGTTTGTGAAAGCGGTC